TCGATATATTTAATGGCTGTTTTTTGCCTATTGGCTAAGTGTCAAATACTATTGATAATAAGTTACTATAAAACCCTACCTGCCAATTCCAAAGACCTGAGTGGGCCCAGAACTTAGGAATAGTGACGTCACCAATCTCAAGGTCAGTATCTGCATTTCCAGCGATTCCATAATGCAACACTCCGTGCAGCCTAAACAAGCTCACTAGCAACTGTGTTGTCACTCCTGCATTCACCTGTTTTTATGTGTATGTGTTATGTAATTCTTATATATGGAACAAGTTGTTTTTGATGATGAATATATAGACATCAAGACGTGTATATACAGATAACAGAGTTCTTGCACATTTAGAAACGTACCATCCCTAATCCACACATCACGATTACTACTCGTTGGTTTAGTATTTTTCCAAACCGGAATCTTCTACCTGCGTAATTTATATAAACAAGGTCAATATCTATCGATGTACTGTATATACTATAGACATCTACGTGAAAAACTCTCTTGTGAATGGAGAAGAAAGGAGTTGGGATGTATCTTGCTATTAAAATTAAAGTTTTGACGAAAGTTTTTTTTGAAAAAAAACTTAACCTACAAACTAGCATAATAATATATAAACAGTTTTTTTTGTAAAAATACTTTATAACTTTTTTGGTATCTACTCGATCCGCCTAGATAATATAACCGATGATATACAAAAAAGAATTGACCCTGTAAATTTATCTGATGAATACATAGTTCAGTTTAAAAATAACATGTTCATTTCAAAATAAAAAGACATCGTAAAAAAAATTACCCGCGAAATCGATGAAAGGCAAAGAGGACTCTGGAACATAGGCTTTAGATCCGATGAGAGGGTTAAGCTCATAGTTATTTGGAGCTACAATCCCCAAATAAGGACCTCTTTTATTCATCCTCTTTATTTGGCTCAAAACTGTTTGAGGAATTTCACCATTTGTTTCTTCAATAATATTTCCAATCGACAAAACAATCACAAGAAAACCGAATAAGTAGTATCCCATAACTTCTCACTCTCTTTCTCGCTCTTACCTTCTCTTTTCTGCTTCTTGTGATGAGTCTCATGTCTCCCCCTCTAGGTTCCTTATATTTACGTACATGCAAATGTAATACACTAATAGTCTAACCACGTTATAAGCATGGATGTTCATATTGCTCAATTTTTTATGGGTGGGCCCAGAACCGGTGAAAGCTTTAGCATATGGATTTGACTGTATGTGTAGTAGAGCAAAAGTAGGGAAGATAGAGAGAAAATTAAAGGAAAATAAAGTAATCAAATTTAGCGGAATTTTGCTGAATTTTTGCTGTTTTTCTAAAAATGAAAATTGACTGGTGCACTAAAAGACCAAAACTAAAAGAAAAACTCAGAGTAAGTTTTTGTTTTTGTTTTTTCCTTTATTTTTAGCACTAGACACCCTACATTTTTCGGAATTTGTTTTTTAACCTTAAATTAATTTAAATTGGCATGTATTTGCAAACAAAAACCGAAAGAACAATTCATTTACATAGATATCACTTTTTTATAACTCAAAAGTAAGCTGTAATCTTTCTTAAACCACTACACTATCTTTGACTTTATAATATTATTATTTGAATATTTATTAACCTGTTATCATTAAATCTTTACTTTTCTTTATAAACAAGAGACTGATTGATACTACAATTTAGACCATATTAGTATGTCACCTACATACTTACTCCATTATGTATATATTTTTACGCTTCAATATCTTATCCATTTTATCATTCAGCTTTTGGATGGCATGATGAGATTTCATCATTGTTTTTCCTTGTAGTTAAAAAATGTAGGTGACAATTTAGATTTGGGAAAATTATCCGATAGATTTGCTTTGATTCCAAATTATCCGATACTTATATCCACACTTATTACTCTCATTGATATAACTTTTTTTTTGGTTTTAATCATTGATATAACTTGTTTCCCTGTGGAGGTAACAAACCAACGAACTTCACGAGAACATCGACGGAGTTTTGTACGGCGAGGCTGCTGAATATGTTGGCCTCGTTAGAAACGCCGGAGCCTCCTCCGCCGACGGATAGGGAACGGATTACGATGAAAGGGATGCTTTGCTGGTGGCAGATGAGAGCAACGGCGGCGCTTTCCATTTCCAATACGGTGGCGTTGAATCTTGAACGGAGGAAAGCTCTGTAAGCGGCGTTGGCCACGAAGATGCTTGCACTCACACCACGGTCAACGATGGTCACCTTCGGTGGTCGAGGGAGGCACGTGGTGTTCACGCACTGCGGTAGTTTCGTGTCCTGTTTTTGTTTGAATGCAATAAAAATTACTATCACCAAAAGAAATATTCATATGTATGTCAGTTTAGAGTTAGACAAACCTCGAGTTGGTGTGCAAGATCCAAGTAGGATGTGTCAACGGGAATCCAGAAGATGTGTTCCCGGACTTCGGGAGTTCCGGTAACCGGAAAGATTTCTTCCGGTTGGTACCAGATTCGGTTGAGCAAGTTATCGGAATGGTTATTGTACTTGGAAAACTGGAGATAACCAATATCGCGAGTATAGTCTCCGCCGGATTCCAAAGCCAGCTCGATGTCCACGCCATCTCCATACCTCTATGAACCCAAAAATAGAAAATAACTATGAACTATCCTTTTAATGCAAGTCTAATTCTAACGTAAATGATAACAATATAACATACACATGAAAACAAGCTACAAGGCTAAATGTCAAATATTATTGGTAATAGGTTATTACAAAATCCTACCTGCCAATTCCAAAGACCAGAGTGGGCCCAGAACTTGGGAATAATGACGTCACCAGTCTCACTAGCAACATCTGTATGTCCAGCGATTCCATAATGCAACACTCCGTGCAGCCTAAACAAGCTCACTAGCAACTGTGTTGTTACTCCTGCATTCACCTGTTTTTATGTGTATGTGTTATGTAATAAACTATAAATTAAAAGATGAACAAATATTCATATTATATGGAACAAGTTGTTTCTGATGAAATCATGAAAGACATGTATATACAGAGTACTTGCACAGCACAGCTATAGAAACGTACCATCCCTAATCCACACATGACGATTACCACTCGTTGGTTTAATATTTTCCCAAACCGGAAGCTTTTACCTGCGTGATTTATATAAACCAGCTCAATATCTATATATGTACTCCCGTTAAAAACTCTCAAGTGAATAGAGAAAAAGGACTTGAGATATATGTTGCTATTAAAAGTTTTGACGAAAGATTTTTTGAAAAGAAACTTAATCTGCAAACTAGCACAATAAAAAACTTTTTTTTTGTAAAACAGACTTGACAATTTTCTGGTATCTACTCGATCCGCCAGAATAATATACAGAAAAAGAATTGACTTTTGTGAATTCATCTGATAAACTATGTTTGGTTTTAAAATAACACTGTTGAATCCAAAATGGAATGACATCGTACAAAAAATTACCCGCAAAATCGATGAAGGGCAAAGAGAAATCTGGAACATAGGCTTTAGAGTCGAGGAGAGGGTTAAGCTCATAGTTATTTGGCGCTACAATCCCCAAATAAGGACCTCTTTTATCCATCCTTTTTATTTGGCTTAAAACTATTTGAGGAATTTCACCATTTGTTTCTTCAATAATATTTCCAACCGACAAAACAATCACAAGAAAACCAATCAAGAAGTATCCCATAACTTCTCACTCTCTTTCTATCTCTTATCCTTTCTTTTCTGCTTCTTGTGAGTCTCATACTCTCATGTCTCCCACTCTAGGTTCTTGTATTCATGTACATGCAAATGTAATACACTAATACCCACGTTATAAGCATGTATTTTTATGTAAGCTCAATTATTTATGGGTGGGCCTAGAATCGATGAAAGATTTATAATATGGATGTGACTGTGTGTGAAGTAGAGCAAAGTAGGGAAGATAAAAAAGATAAAAAAAAAAGAGAGGAAAGAAAAGGAAAAATACGTTGTATACGATGACAAAAAGAAAAGGTTGTTCGACACGTACGAAAAGGAAATCTTTTATGTATTCACAATCACAAAATTTCAAATGGCTGAATACCTATTTATTCTGGTCTGAATAAAATTGAATTTTAATGATTGTGGTTCAATTTAAAACCGTGGGGACACTGCCAATCAATAAGGAAAACCGAAAAGATAAAGGAAACTGATGAGATTATCATTTTGAATGCATACATCTTTTTCTACACCGGAAATCACGACAATCCATAGTCACATTCATTTGATCAAGCAGCCCAAAAACTCCCTCTTCATTTTAATTGATTTGATTGTGGGATCAGCAATATTGATTGATCATTTGAGTACTTATAAATCAAATTCTTTGTCCGATTTTTCGTTAGTGAGTTCTGAAACTGAACTAGTTATCAATCTCTAACCATGTAACTTGACATGTCCACATTTATTCCAAAAATAGTTGTATGATTGTAGATTTATGAGTTTCTCACTATAGAGCGGAGGGGAGATAATATCAACCGGCGGCAGTGTTTTAGAAATACACGTATGGAACTTTTGTAAAGTTTTTACCAAAAAAAAAACTTTTGTAAAGTCTTCTCATGGTTTCAAAAGTTTTGCAGAAGACTTCTTAATCTATATAATTGAAATGGCTTGTGACACTCTCCAGCTGATGACACCTCAGCACCCCCAAAGCCACATCATCCCTTCATTTATTACTAAACCTTCCTCATCTCTTTGTAAAACGCTACCATTTCTTCCGCTTTGTCCCACTTCCGTCTCCCTCCAAAACGACGCCGTCTAGTAGTTGCTTGTAAAGCGATACCGTTTTAGTCCGTGCTTGTAAAGCGAATGCGTTTTCTGTCCCTTACTCCATCTCTCACCGAAACGGAATGGTTTAGTTCCTCCGCCGCCAAGCACAAAACGACGCCGTATTCCACGTACTCGATTCCCCCAAACTCCTCCCTGAGCCACCCCCGTGCCCGCCGAGACTTCTCGGATTCCGTTGAGCGTTTCTGCAATCAATGGTATCAATGATATCCATTCAAAGCGTAGGTTATGGGACCAGCCCTGCGAATTCCAAATCCTTTATAGAAGGCCTCCTCCACTCTCTTCTCCTTTCTTTCCTCGCTTTGCTTCTCCGAAATGAGATCTCCTCACTTTCATACTCTTTCCTTCGAACAAGTTTTTCCGTATTTCGCTCGACGCTGCCAGAGCTTCTCTCATTCCGGTCGTTAATGGGTCATCTTCAATCTCCCAAAAACGGTGATTCGCTTGATTCGCTCTTTATATTTCCAATTCCACTATTAGCTTCCCGATTCAATCATCCGAGTAACGCAGCAACGCTTCGCCAGGACCACGACAGAGAGCTTCGCATAGTGAGAGACACCAACCAGTGACGGGTTTCTTCATCGAAGAGATTTCCAGGTCATCTTCTCTGGCTCTGTATCTAGGTCTTCTCTCTCTCGCTCTCTTTAACTCTGTTGTTCTTTCAAATTTTTGTAGGATTGTTTCTCAGACTCACAGCCAATCCACTAAAAAGAAAACATAATGCAAAGATAACCTTATTCTCCGTGTTGCTATTTTCAAGGCTGAAGAAATCATGTACTTCAAACCTAATTCTGAGCTTTTTCCTTTATTTTGATTAGATCTGTAATATGATTTTCATTTGTTATCTCTAATTTCTTGCTTCATGCTATGTTCTTGTGTTGTCCGTTTTATTTGCTGCCTTTGTTTTTCTTGGATTTGTTTTCTTCTTTCTGTTTTTGTTCTGTCTCAAACAGTCTTCAAAATTTAGTGTAGAACAAAAGAAAAAAAAAAAGCAGAGAGTTTGGTCAAACCTCGAGAATTTGCCGAATAGCAATTATGAGTATGTCAAGTCATTCTAATTGGAGGACGAATTCATGCTTCCTAACTTGATGGTTGTTCGGATTGATGGTCGTGATTCATCCAGGTAGGTTTCTCCTTCTTCTTACTCGTTAAATTGGGTTCGAGAAGGGAGCTTAGTCTACATACAGATCCATGTATGTTACGATTGATATGCAATTTATCAGTATTCTCTTTTATATATAATGTCACTGGTGATGGTGTTTAGATTGTGTAACCGCGGCGTCTTTGTTGGATTTTGGAGCTGTGATTGCAAATTTTCGTAATAAATTCTACTTTCACTTGTTGTACTTCATCATTGGCCGAGTTTAATTTTGCTTGCTTCTTAGCTCTAAACCTTCGTTATAACTAAAGATTTTGTCAAGTTAATGAGTTTCAGATGAATGCTGATGAATTCGTGGTCAGATGCGGTTTTGGATAAGTATAATGACATTATCTTTGGAAATGGATAGTGACAAATACAGGTAAGAAACTCATTTGGCTGGCTTTATTTTACACTTTTACCCATATCTGTATATATCACATTTAAGCTTTTTTATTTTCCATGTCTTCCGTAGCTTACTATTCAAGAAAACATCAAGATTCTACCAGAGACTAGCCAGGTAATTGTGATTTCAAAAAAATTATTCAAAAGCGATTTTCCTCATCGTAGAGAAATGATGACACAGAGAGAGAGTTTGTCTTCAATTTTATTTTACCAGGTGAAAGCCAGGCCAGTGTTCTGTTTAATATACCAGTAATGATGGTTCAGCCTGATCTCCTAGAGATCACGAACGAAATCGGTTGGACCAAGAAAGCCTAGCAGCTGTCAGGGTAAGATCCGACGAAGGAAGAGAAAGAGGGTAGGATAAAGCTGATGGAGGGAGAACAGCAGAAAACGAGGATGTGGAATAATCGGAAGGTAACAGGTACAAAACCATTTTTCTTCTTCGATCTTCATTATTTATAGGAGCTTCTTTCACAAGTTATTCCGAACAAAGTAAAGTGTTATTTTAAGTGCAGTAGATGGAATTAAATGCATATGATTTATCGACCTTGCTTACTTCATTTACTTGTAGTAGATTCTAGAGTCATGTTAGTAAACTTAACATTAAATTCTGTGTGGACAACTAAGTTTCATCGTAATTTCAGACTCTATGGTGATTTTTTCCCCCTCAAGTATGTGCTCTAGGGATTTCAAAGTGCTGTACCAGAAATTAGTGCAACAATGTTGATATGTTTCTCGTGCGGTTACGAATGTTACTATAACTTGATGAAAGAGTAGGTTCTAAGAAACTTTGGAATTGAAATTTATTTTCTCTGTTTATATGTTATAGATGTTTGGTTTCGCATGTAGAATCAGAGATGTTAGTTGTTGGATTTGTTAGTACTGATCTGTCACTAGGCTACTCATACACATTTTTGGGTTAGATCTGATGACACAGAAACTATTTGAAATTTTTAGATTAATAGTTTTGCATGTGTACCAGTAGAAAATCATTTTCTAGCTCATCTCAGTAGAAAACCATTTTGTATATCATCTGAAAGTTAGTTGCATTTGCCATTTGGTCTTCTCATCATTTTATTTAATCTTAATAGCAAATAATGTGCAGGTTTTGCGTCTCAAGATATGGACAATTTGGCGCATAACAAACTTGCCGTCTGCTTGCATCCACTTAGTAAAACGGTCTGCTGCTGTTTCCAATTGTATTACTTGGTGGAAGTTATTATCAACGATGTATGTGAATAAATCTACTTGTTTAGTATTTTCTTATCTACGATGTATGTGAATGAATCAAATTGTATGGTATTTTCTCTTACTGTAACCGGTGAGATAGTTTTTAAAAAATGATTAGATTTACAATAAAGCTAGGTTATAGTGACATTTATACGAACTTTCACCAAAAAAAAGAAATATTACTAACAGTTCAAAAGTAACAATACAACTATCCGCGCATTGCGCGGGTTCACACCTAGTTTCATAATAAAAATTCGATAGGAATAATTTGGAATTCTCCTTAAGCAACTTACAACAACATACTTAAAAATTATGAAAAAAAAACTTATTACAACGTAACATAGATGTATATTTGACGTACGTATATAAATGATTGGAATACAAAAAAACTTTTGTTAAGTCTTCTCATGGTTTCAAAAATTTGCAGAAGACTTCTTAATTTCATAAAATTCGATAGGAATAATTTGGAATTCTCCTTAGGCAACTTACAACAACATACTTAAAAATTATGAAAAAAAAACTTATTACAACGTAACATAGATGTATATTTGACGTAGCGTACGTATAAATTATTGGAATACAAAATCTGACTAACCAATTAAGAAAACTATGCATGACGGCATGAGCCTTCTGATAGCCTTCACTTTCATTAAGTCTTCCGTGGAGATAACAAACCGACGAACTTAACGAGAACATCAACAGAGTTTTGTGCGGCGAGGCTGCCGAACAAGTTGGCCTCGTTAGAGATATCGGAGCCACCGCCAGCGAGGTCGGAGAGAGCACGGATAACCACGAATGGAAGTCTTTGCTGGTGGCAGACAAGAGCTACGGCGGCGCCTTCCATTTCGATGGCAGTGGCGTTGAATTTGGTGCGGAGGAAAGTCCGGTAAGCAGCGTTGTCGACGAAGACGCTTGCACTCACACCACGGTCAACGATGGTCACCTTCGGTGGTCGAGGGAGGCACGTGGTGTTCACGCACTGCGGTAGTTTCGTGTCCTATTTTGGTTTGAAATATGCATCCACGTACGGAAGACGCAATAATTTTATCATCACCAATCATAATTAAATGTTAGTCAAATATATATAATCTAGTTATCTAGGTCACGGACTGATAAAAACCTTGAAAATGTTAGTCAAATATATCTAATCTATGTGACGGACTAACGTGTTATTAAATATTTCCGGAAATTAAATGCAACTTGGGTAAACAATTAATCAAATATAAAGACTATTATCAACCAAATAATGTATGTTTAGTAGTCAAACCTCGAGTTGGCGTGCAAGATCCAAGTAGGACTTGTCGACGGGAATCCAGAAGACGTGTTCCCGGACTTCGGGAGTTCCGGTGACCGGAAAGATCTCTTCCGGTTGGTACCAAATTCGATTGAGCAAGTTATCGGATCGGTTATTGAACTTGGAAAAATGGAGGTAACCAATTTCCCGAGTATAGTCTCCGCCGGCTTCCAAAGACAGCTCGTTATCAATTCCATCTCCATACCTCTATATTCAAATTTAAAACTAATGTTAGGCTTAGGCATACCACCAAGAAATATATTTGTAAGAAAATTTTCAACACGATGACAGGAATATACATTAATACATATGTTTATATCATTATATATTTATATGCATGGATCTTAAAAGTCCGAATCTGGTTTTAGAGAAATAACCAGTTGAACCACCAACATAAAATTGTTATATTGATGGTTGACAAAAGGAAAGATGGTATATTGTAATATCATTGCAAATATTGAACATATGCAAATGGTATTAATGCATAGCCAACCCACGACATTAGTATGTAAAAGTAAAAGCTTTTTTCATAGCCTTATGCATGCCCAGTGGTTTCAAAATCTAATATTATGTAAACATTTAGTAAAGTAAAGAGCACAAGTAACATACAGTGGAACGTGGCCAAAGAAATCTACGAGTCTTCCATACGAAATATAGGTGGTTGAACAATAAATTTCAACAAGCATGTACATGATAGGTTAAATTTCGTTCTCAGTGTCAAATAGAATTAGATTGGTCTTGGTGATATAAGTTAATGAACCCTACCTGCCAATTCCAAAGACCAGAGTGTGCCCAAAATCGAGGAATAGTGACGTCACCAACCTCAAGGTTAACATCTGCGTTTCCAGCGATTCCATAGTGCAACACTCCTTTCAGCCTAAACAGGCTCACTAATAGTTGCGTTGTTACTCCTGCATTCACCTGTTTTTAAGTTATTTTACATATTAAATAAGAATTAGATTAATGTTTTATATGCGTAAAATGATTTATACGATGAGCGTACCATTCCTAATCCCGTCATCACTATTACCACCCGTTGGTTTGATATTTTTCCAAATCTAAATCTTCTACCTGCATAATTTATATAAACCAGATCAATATCTACACATGCATATCAAAGACATTCGCATGAGAAACTCTCTTGTGAATGAAAACAAAAAGGATTATAGCTAGATATCATTCTTTTTTTAACTAAAATTTAAACAAAATAGAGAAAACTTAATCTACAAACAAGCTTAATCCTAAATGGTTTTTAAAAAGAACAAATCGGTGACATATACAAAGTACGTAAGAAACTAATTTGTGAATTGACTTGGCATCGGAAAAAAAAAAAAAAAAAAAAATCTCACCGGCAAAATCGATGAAGGGCAAAGAAGGATATGGGACATAGGCTTGAGAAGCGAGAAGAGGATTAAGCTCAAAGTTGTTTGGAGCTACAACCCCTAAATAAGGACCTCTCTTATTCATCCTCTCGATTTGGCTCAAAGCTCTTGGTGATATTTCACCATTTGCTTCTTCAATAATATTTCCAATCGACAAAATAACCACAAGAAGGCCAATCAAAAAGTATCCCATAACTTCTTCTCTCTTTCTTTCTCGCTCTTTAACCCTTTTCTTGACTTATATGCTTCTTATGATGAGTCTCTCATATGTCCCCTATAGTTTCCTTCTATTTATGTACTACATGCAAATGTGATACTAATACACACGTTATAGACTAATTTATAGTCTTGTAATATAGACGTGGATGTTTATGTATGCTTAAATATTATGGTGGGGTTAGAGACGGTGAAAGCATGTATAATAATTTTGACCCCCAAAATTGGACTATTATTGACTAAAAAATGAAACTGGGTCTTTTTGTAAACATTGAGAACTAAAGGAGTGTAAATGTAAAACCGAATACTACTTATAAAATCGGGAAATTGGGAATTAGAAATTCGGACTCCGGCGAAAATCGGGGAGAATGTCGGAGATCGTGTGTGATGATGATTCAGCTGAGAATTACCCAGATTTAGCGGATCCATTGAGTGAAGATGATGAATTGGACTCTGATGAAGAGGAGGAGTACCGACGGCAAATCCGAGAGTCCGATGTAACCTCTCTCTCTTTCTTCTTCCACTAATAGTAGTAGTAGACTAGTAGATTCTGCTATCGGTTTCTAGCCATAATTGGATTGATTTGAGGAAGAATCCTAGCTTAATTTCATCTGGGGATTTGTGGGTTTAAGCGAATCGATCTCGCAGCTGAATTTTTTGGAAAATTGTGAATGTGTGAAACAGGGTTTCGATGTGGAATGGTTTCCTCGTCCAGGTTGTGGAATATTTCCCTACAAAATTAGAGATAACTATACACCTTTCAATCTCGCTCTTCACAGTAGACTAGGGCTTCACTGTTACAATCTTCAGAAGGTAAACTCTATGATCCGATCGGAAATTGGACTGCTTTCGTTTACGTGTGCTTTTCTTTTTTGTGTGTCAATCATGTGTGGCTGCTTGATATATCTTAACAGGGAACAAACCTTAAACTAATCGGCGTGCAGAAATTCAACCATGGGATGGGTACGCCTGTGACGTACTACATCACGATGGATGCAGCAGACGCAGACAACAACAACGCTCGTTGCACTTTCCAAACGTGTACAGAGGAGCATCCATTTAAGAAAACCAACACAGTAACGTTATATATCAAAAAACGTTATTTTCTATTTGTATGCTAAGTTTGCGTTTTACTTGTGGTGGAGAGGACATCCAGTATGTGTTTTGCCCTTTTTTATAAACATAAAAACATTGCTTTAATCTTCACTAAACCCAAACCTAATGCAATGCATTTGTTTGTTTGATGAAGAGGTTGGAGTCTTTTGTACCACTGAAGATCAAGAAGGTGATTATGCAGACTCGTGAAAGCGGAGAAGAGCCACCGAGCCTGAAGCTCAAGGCCAGCAACGCAATCTTCTTCATGAGTTTCAAGTGCAATGGCGATCGTCCGAGTGGTAAGCGTCTCGACTACCAAGCAATGGTACGGACAACAATGGATGGGAAGCCGGGACACATTCGTCTAGAAGTTGATTGTTGGGCCGGTACACCATAAATCCAGCTGATTCGAGATATCTTCAAGCCACGCTGTTTAACTTCTACACCATTAAGTAAAGGTATAAGGGTATTGGCTTGGGATGAACGTTTTGGTACGTGAATAACAGAGTGAGAGCAAATGGTGTTATGAGAAATATTAGGTCTATATCATGTTATATATTATGTTTGATTCTGATCTATTGATAATGGCCATCCCTCGCTTTCGAGAAACCTTGTTATTGTCACTTGTTACTTTAATTTATGCTCTGTATGTTCTCTTAACAATTTAGTTTAATAGGTAGACCCTTATGTTCTTGTTCAGTTGTGAATACATATGCAACTCGCCAGGCTCCCTTGCCTTTTCTTATACATCGCTGTAAGGTTTTCATTACATAATCAGTATAATAAAGTTGATCAACTGGTTTCTTAAACCTTTTTAAATTCTCCAAATTGAAATATACACAACTAATATTACTTTACCTAACCCTAACAAGATCTTGAATCTTGTGTTTATATGCAAATTTCCACAATTTTTGTAAAAATAACGACCAAGGTAAATGGAGTAGTTTACGTAAGTAGCTGAGCAAGGTAAAAAGTCTTATAATTTTCTTATAATTCAAGGTAGTTGAATTTAGAAAATGAGTTTTTTGGAAGATCAGCCATACATAAAACTAGAAACACACATACCAATAGTCTTAATACAAAGTCTTAATTATTTAGTGCAAGTCCTAAAATCTTCTCTTCACGTCGTTGATCCAAAGCAGCCCCTGTTAATCCATCGATCCAAAGCATTTGTTCCACACATATGATCCAAAGCTAAACATAAATAAAGAACCACATTAAGATATGGTGCATATATAATACGAGTATGAAGATTGTAAACCAAACCTCATGCAAATGTTGGAAAAGAAAAGTCGGAGAGTAAACGCCTTGGTGCTCCGAAGTTTGGATGACCTTCTTGTCCCTCCCATGGCACTTGAACCATCTCCACATCAACAGAAACGCCAAAGTAACCTTCGTCTCCTAGTAATGTGCCATGAGGAGCTTTGACAAGTGCAATTGTTTCTCCATTTTCCTCTATCACAGCATAAATGTTGACCCATTCAAACCCTTCGTATACAGACTCTTTGTACATAGGTCCTCGGTAAATTCCCTAAAGAAAACAAAACACACATGTTTAGTAATTCTAGATAAATTTTGTTCAACTATATACTGTAACTAACATACTTACGTCTTTGATAATGTAATAGTCTGGTGTAAAGAGAGCCAATGACGCTGCAATTGGATGAAACTCCAAATAAGGCAATGCCTCACGTATGGAAGAGATCTCCACACAAGAGTTTACGTAAACATGAGGACTTCCTGCCCTGTAAATAGGCAGACCCTGAGGTCTGCATCCGACATACTTCCAGTGTCCTGCTTGTGGAATACCAGCTTCCTTTACAAACTCCAAAGCCTTGGCGACAGAATATTTGAAGCAGTAATGCAGCTTATCCTTCATGTATCTCTCCGTTGCCTTATCCCTGTCTGCGAAATCCACCAGGAACTGAGCCGAGTAGTCGACGTACTCTGCATCATGTCGCAAGATGTATCTCACTGCGCTTATGAGCTCTGCCGCTGTAATAGCCCAACCAGTCTCTGCAAAAACCAAAAGTGATTACAAAGTTTAAGTTTATCACTTTGACAATAACTTGCACAGTACGTAATACATTATTTGATTGAATAGTTATAGAAGTTATACCATGAGTTCCTTGGTCTCTCACCCAATACATAGACGTTTTCCAGTTTTTCTCCCTTACGATGTCAGAAGTAACCTGAAACCAAAAGTATACAATGTTAGAAGTAATATCAAACCAAATACTTACACTACAAATGGAACATAATTATGACAAAAAAATAAATAAAAAATAACACAGTAACGAAACATTACCACATGATTCATCCATCTAGCGTATGAAGTTTTATTGGTGTCGAAAACTTTAACCAGAGCGTCAGGTTTCGAGCTGATGATTGATGCTAAGATCTCTCCAGGAATTATGTCGCATACCTCATACATCTCTTGAGGTATGGTGAAGGTAAACTGCACATATTCACACATGTATCTAAGTTAGTTGTAAGCTTGTCTTAACACAAAATAATATTAAGTAACTTAAGATACATTTGCCACTTACGATTTCTTCAGCTGAAGGAGACGCTTGCACGGATAGCGGCCGAAGTAGTGGCTCCATTATGTTTCCCTTCTCTGCAAAATGAAACAACATATATAGTTATATACTAAGAGCGTGAGAGAAAGAGATACATATAAGACCAAATCAATTTAAAAACTGGTATTTACTTAAAAATTAACCAGGAAACTTAGCATCACTTATTCAAAATGATATTATAACATAAATTAGCTTGATGCAGAGTTTTTTCCTATACTCATCTGCTAGGTGAATAGTTTATTGCACAAAATATTCCGCATTAAATAGTGTAACAGCTTTTACGGACATAGCCTGAATTTACTACTACATACATAGAACATTAACAAAGTACTACAGCTTTATGATTTACAGCTTTATGATTTACTACAGCTTTATGATTTACTACAGCATTAAATAGTGTAACAGCTTTTTTTTGAACAACAGTGTAACAGCTTTTACGGACATAGCCTACTACATACATAGAATGATACTCCTCCGTTTCAAATTAGTTGTCGTTTTGGCAAAATGTATCTGCAGATATTTGGACGTATTTGGACGTATTTTGCATTGCAGATACGTTCAAATATTTGCAGATACATTTTGCCAAAACGATAACTAATTTGAAACGGAGGGAGTAGAAAATTAACAAAGTACTACAGCTTTATGATTTACTACAGCTTTAACTTACTACAGCTTTAATCAACTACATATACAGAAAATTTACTACAGCTTTATGATTAACTAAGTACTCAGGAAAGTTAGTCATTTGAATATGGAAAGTTAGAAAATTAAAACTGTAGTGGACACATATTCGGATATTCCACTATCACTATGCTTTAATAAGACACAGCTTTATTAAGACTAACTACAGCTTAAATATTCTTACTCTTTACCGAATGGAAAATTACAAGATATCTCTCTAATATAATGGACACATTCTGGGTGGGCAAGCAATTCGGATGCACAGATTGGTGCTCTCTAGTGATTGTGTTACAGTTAACTAGGGGAAGCATGAATCCGAATTCGTACCTTAGCCTATTTCGGCGACGAGTATGGTTCTGTGTGATTGTGAAGCGGACGCAGAGATCGGGAAGAGATCACAGACGCAAATCCTCCTCTTGTCTCTAATTGTTTCTCTCTCTCTCTCGCTGAACTTTTCTCTTTGTGTTTCTGTCACTAGTTTGCTACGTGAAAGGCTTCGTATATATAATCTAAGCCGTGGTTAATAGTTGGGTCAGAGAAGTATTATTGATAGTAAAAAAAAAATTACCATTCCCGCCAACTGTTTCGGTAGGAGGGAACCAAACGAGAGAGTAAACGACAAAGTTAAATAAATGAAGCATTAAAAGTTGAGCTACTTTCAAAACAAACGTAAGAGTTGCAGAACATGTCCTCGTACTTTCCATAGGATTTGAAGAACTCTGCGATGATAAGAAGTTTCTGCATACGTTAACCATTATAAAGAAGTCACGTTCGTTCGGACAGAGACGCTACAGATAATGAAAATAAATACCTAAAAAAATATGAAATAAAACATTACAAAAACCTAGATGAAAGCTAGCTGCACCTGCTTATACAAGCTCTCGATTAAAGCTTCACCTGTTTACATATTCAATATTGAACCATCAAATTGATCTCGACCACAACCGGACATGCTGATCCAAAGTTACTTAAGACGCTGTACATCAGTACATGAGAATACTGAAAAAAATATTCTTGATAGAAAAAGTTTTACATTCCACAATTTTATAATATGATCCAATCAAAATCAAAGTAAACATGAATACATACTTTTATTTCAAATAGTAATCTCAAACATCTTGCTTTCTCTCTCTCTTCTGATTTGACAGCCTTTACAAAAGGAAGGGTATCACACGTTTTCTTTTGATGTATATGAAAACACACATATTTTATATCATACCAAATATCATATCATGTAATCGATTTAGAGATCATCGATATAATGACGAAGATCGATATAATGAAGAAGACGAGGGTTCCGAAAATAAAAGAAATACTTAAATAAATACATCAAAGACAGTCTTCAAAATAGTTTGCCCGTTTTATTATGAGGAAAAAAAAAGCAGTCTCAAGCCTCCACAGTCGCAATCGACTCCACTTTGATGCATGCACACTACAACTCTACGAGCTAATTCTAAGAAAACAAGCACAGTAACGTTACATATCAAATTAATACACTACACATATTTGACTCCAATTTGTACACACACGCGCCTTATTTTCTGTTTTAGATTAGGCTGAGATAATGCCCAACTATGTAAAATTATCACAGATCAACAAAACTTGTTTGGTACTAAGACTTTCACAAAATTAATAAACATTTGGATCAGTAATTTGTCTAAAATCCAAAACTGAATAATTAGTTCTCCTGATAGATTATCAAATTCATAGAGAGAATCAAATCATGAAAAAAGGACCAAATTTTAATGGCATCGCTTCAATTGCATCAACTTTATGTTGTCGCTTAGCATCAAATTTTACAGCATGTATGTATAATTGTATAGATACGGTAATTCAAAAAACAATAGAACAAAAATAAGAAAACACACAAGATTCTCATGGACATAATCGAAATCAATTTAATAAATAAGAAAAACAAATATAATTATTCGTCCGTACTCCTCCGAGCCTGAGCTCTCCAATCGCTGCAACGCCTCAGTAGCCACCGTCGCGAAGCTAGGGTTTTTCTTGATCGTCTCCTTCCCGGCGGTTTCAGGTTTCATCTTCTTTGCTTCTCTCCCTCGATTTCAATTTCTGTTTTTCCTTTTTTTCTCGGCTTCTCTGTGATCGAAATCGCTTTCATTTTCAGCTGATTTGGCACTCCTGCTGCGTAGTTAAGGTTCTGGGTTTCATCTGGTCGCATCTAGATATGAATTTATCGATGATTTCGAACTTGAAAGTTAGGATTTTTTGGGTGATTACTTGATTTAGATTATTGATTTTTTTTTTTTTTCTTCTTCCCGTTTCCAGTTTCTGATAGTATTTCTGAAGCTCGTCTGCTAATAGATCTGTATATTGTTATTAATCGGGTTTAAACTTACTAGATCTCATACTATCTGTCTCTCCTCCGATTTCTTCTGCTTCTGGATTTTAATTTTGTTTTAGCTGAGGGAGAAGAGAAGTGTGTGTGTGTGTGTGTGTGTGTGTCTCTTCTATTTCAGTAAACAGCTCAAAAAGGAATGTCCTTAGCTTTGTTTCCTCTTTAGTTTTGATCTTCAAAAACGGAAATGATGAATCACTTTTTCAATTTCTAAGTTGTAAAAATGGTTTCTTTTTGTCACAGAGCTCAAACCACCAAAAGGCGGTTCTGGAGAATTGCTGGACTGTTCTTACAATGGTCTCGTTTCAAAGGTACAATCCGATTCGATGTTTCTGAGATTTCTGGTAGCTTACTAGCTTCACTTAAGCTAAAATAGGATTGATTTGGCAAGAATGTTTCTGTTAGCTTTAAATAACAGATCCTTTTGTGCTATAACTCTCAGATGGTAATCAAGATCGCTGAGGATACTCTAAAGATCCGTTGAGGTGCTTGAAATTGCCGTTAAAGTTTGTCAAAACATGGATGATGATACTGGGCTGGAGCTCAGCTTAGGTCTCTCTTGTGGAGGATCATCAGGGAAAGCTAAAGCTAACAACAACACTAGTAATAATGCTGGAAGCTCCTCTGAGAACCACAGAGTAGAAGGAGGCGATAGAAGCGCTAAAGTGATTGATGACTTCAAGAACTTCCTCCATCCAACTTCTCAAAGACCATCAGAGCCGAGTTCTGGCTCTCAGAGAAGCGACTCGAATCAACAACCTCCGCAGAACTTCTTCAACGACCTCTCCAAAGCTCCTGTCAACGACGGTGAAGCTTCCACGAAACCTTTGTGGGTGGAGGACGAGACACGGAAAGAAGCTGGAAGCAAAAGGAAGTTCGGGTTTTCAGGGATGAACGATGAAAAGAAGAAGGAGAAGGACTCATCATCATCACACGTTGTTGATCTGCACGAGAAGAAGACCAAAGCTTCTCATGTTTCAACCGCTACAGATGAAGGATCAACAGCTGAGAACGAAGATGTAGCAGACTCTGAAGCAGGAGGCGGTGGTGGAGGTTCTTCTTCTAACCTCGCAAAGGACGTGACTCGTCCTAACGCTGATACAAACATTGTGGACAACTTAGCTGGTCAGAGGAAGAGCAGTAACCATGGAGGAACTAGCGCTGATGAGTTTACAATCCGGAACATGAGTAGTTACACCGTACCTTTCACAGCTCATCCGCAGAATGTCGTCACTAGCTTGCCTTACTCTGCTAAAGAGTCTGCAGCGGCTACGAGTCTAATGCAGCCTAGTGCTAATCCCGGGAATCTCCCAGTTATGTTCGGATACTCACCGGTTCAGCTCCCTATGCTTGATAAAGACGGTGCAAGTGGGATTGTTGCTCTTTCTCAATCTCCGTTCGCCGGAAGAGGCCCATCAAACTCAGGTAAGCAAAGCTTTTGCCTTTAGACAGTGTAGAGTCCTTACTTACTGCAAAGATAATAACTTTCTTTTTGTTCTCTCCCGGAAAGCTACTGCGAAAGGCGAGGGAAAGCAGCCTGTTGCAGAAGAAGGCTCGTCCGAGGATGCAACAGAACGGCCAACAGGAGACAACAACAACAACAACAGTAATGCTGCTTTCTCAAACGACTTTTCTGCCATTAAACCTGGAATGGCTGCAGATGTGAAGTTTGGGGGATCAGGAGCACGTCCAAACCTGCCGTGGGTCTCAACCACTGGTTCAGGCCCGCACGGCCGGACTATCTCTGGTGTCACATACCGGTACAACGCGAACCAGATCAAAATCGTATGTGCTTGCCATGGCTCGCACATGTCGCCTGAGGAGTTTGTTAGGCATGCGAGTGAGGAGTATGTTAGCCCTGAATCATCCATTGGGATGACCGCTGCGTCAGCTCACACCTGAGAAGTCGCAGGAGTCATGTTTTGAGATCTTTTGTAAAAACAAATGGAAGGTGTTTGTACTTTGTAATGAGTTTCTTTTGGGAATATACATTTATTTGTGTTTGCTCGCTCGGAATCAAACTCAAGCCAAAGTTTTAACTGAGCTTTCTGCTATGTGTTGTAACTTGTAATCTCTCTGCTTGTTTTGTTCTTTGATTCAGCTTTAACTCTCTTCGCTTCTGTGTATTAGCAAGTTTTGTAAGCCTCTTCCTCTCTCTTTTTTGGGTTGAATACAAAAATATGCTAGAAATTTTGTACTTTGATACAACACTCATTGGTGGTCAAATTTGACTACTATACGACGACAGCAAAAACTTCAGTTGTACTCTCTAATTTAGTCTAGTAATGCACATCAAATTCTATATCAAAAATATCATAATACAAATGCTTAATCATGATACCGAAATATCGATTAATTTATTCATAGAAATCTGATAATTGGTTTTTGAGATTATTGAAGACTAAAATAATAATGCATCGAAGCCATCACTCAATCATGAAAACTGCAAACTTTGACTTTTCTTTTCCCCTCCGATTTTTTGTGCTCCTTGTCGTCCATTTTTATATATTCATTCGGCGAGTGCAACAAAGCATCTTCTCGAGTTCTTGCTTATTACTTTTAATAAACAACGATGAGTACATGCATAGCTAAAATACTAAAATAGCTAAAAAAGTCCATTGTGAAACCATAATCAGAAAACTTGAAAGAATGACTGCCTTACTTTTTTCGGATCAACCTAACCAAATATACATTTAACAGTGAATTGAACATATATTTGGTTTAATTTTACTTTCTATAGTTTGTAGACCAAAACCAGTCCCATTGTGTGATGCATGCAAGTTGTAATTTTATAAACAATAAACAGATAAGTTCTAATTAGTATATAGTCCTAAATATGATCAAAATGAGGTCAGAGAATAACAGCCCAACCATAGACATTGTTTTTTAGTTAATGGAGAATAGTAGAAGACAATGAGAAAGCAATATCATACAAATTGTTGTCACGTAGATGACGTACTTTTATTAATTTATATTTACACTAAAGAGAGATCCCAATCTTTAACATATACAATCTCATTTTCTCCATTTTCCTCTTCAATAAAAGTAATTCCAACCCCAAGGAAATATTATTCCAAGAAAATCAAGAAATATAAAAGTTTCTCAAGAATCGAAGATCTTCTCATTTCCCTCCGATGTATCAACTCTTCTTCTTCTTTCTTCCAATCCTACACAGTTATCACCATGTCTCTGCTCAGCCTCCTCCTCCGTTCAGAAACGGCGACCTCGTCGCGAATTTCGAGCCGAGTTTAGCCGTGGTCACCGGAGTTCTCGCAATCATGTTCACACTCACTTTCGTCCTCCTCGTCTACGCTAAGTGCTGCCACATCGATCTACGGTCAGGTTCTCGCGACGGAACACGGCATGATCGCCGGCTCCGGCAAGGAATATTCTTCAACCGGTCAAGCAACTCGTCTGATCGTTTCTCCGGTTTGGACAAGACAGCAATCGAGTCTCTTCCTCTGTTTAGATTCTCCGCTTTGAAAGGATCAAAACAAGGGCTTGAGTGTTCTGTTTGTATATCTAAATTCGAAGGCGTCGAGGTTCTTAGATTGTTGCCTAAATGTAGACACGCTTTCCACGTCGGATGCATCGATCAGTGGCTTGAGCAGCACGCAACGTGCCCTCTCTGCAGAGACATTGTCTCAATCGAAGACGAGCCTTCTGTTTACGGAAACAGTTTTCGGTTCTTGAATCAGTCTGAGAGAAGAGAAGATTCGAGTTTGGAGCTTTACATCGAGAGAGAAGAAGAAGAAGAGAGACGAAGACAGGGAGAGGAAGTGGGTGGATCATTGAGATTCAGCATCGGAGAGAGTTTCCGGAAGATTCTGAAATTAGGTCATAAAGAGAAGCCTTTACTTGAGAATCAAGGAAACGAAAAAGACGAGAAGAAAATGATGCATAAGTTCAATCACAGGATCGTTGTGTCGGATGTTGTGTTTAAGAATCGATGGAGCAACGTGAGTTCGTCGGATTTGATGTTTTTGAATTCGGAGATGGTTAATTCGATTTCCAGCGAGAGATTCTCGTCGATGGATAGAGTGACAAGAGGAGATGAAGAGGATCAAATAGGTATCTTGCGGATCAATAAAGAAATGGAAGCGAAGAGAATGTTGGAGAATAAGTTGACTTCGATGAAAACTATGTTGTTGTCGGAAAACAGTGACTCTGGTTCGAATTCCAGAAGCGTTATGGTCGAGCCAGGAAGAAGATCGGTCTCTGAGATCACTGCTGTTCCAAGAACCAGTTTTGCGGTCCATGGAGATTACAGCGTTTCAACCGCAGCGTCTGCGTTAGAAAACAGAGGAAATGAGACGGAGGAGAGAAGACGGCGTTTGTGGCTGCCGATCGCTAGAAATACAGCTCAATGGTTTGCTAACAGAGAAAAAAGAAATCAAAATAACACATCTCACCAACACTTTGATGTATAGTTTCTTATTTATTTTTTTCCGCTTAAAGAGTTGCAAGTTTTTTTATACGGAATTAGATTATATTTAATGTGCTGAATTAAATCGGCATATGTTAGTTTTGTGCAAAGAATTCTATGAAAGTTATACATGTTAGTTAGATCCAAAGAAGAGGATTTGTGTAACATAGATGGATTTATCTAAAGAACAAGTTTTGACTCATAGTACATGATTAAATGATTCATTGCAAGGTTTTGTTTAGGTGTTATATGAAAGAAAAAAACATAATAATTGTTTTCAATAAATGGAACATGTCAACCTGGTTACAGAAGAAACCATGCTCAATTCAATTTTATTGTTACGACTGCATCATATTCATTTTTTTTTGTTGGTCAACGACTGCATAACATACATATATACAATATATTGTTTATATGTCTATTTATGTAGTTCTCATTAAAAAACTAACCTAAAAAATAAACTACCCTGGCCCCTTGGTTTTGTCTCTTGATAAATGGTTTTCTTTTATTTAGACTAACAACATTACTAGCTCATGTATTTGACTATAAAATACATATTAGTAGGTCAACTAACTTCCATTACAAAAAGTACATTTGCAAAATTTGATTATTAACAAACATCTCAATTTTTGAAAATTAAGTGCAAAGAAAAACCTGAATTAGTCCAGGTTTTATATAAGCAGCTAGTTTGTCGCTTTCTTATAATTCCCAAATATTATAAAATCTAATCCCATTTTCAAGCATTTTCCTTTTGATGGCCAACTCTAATAGTACTATATTACCAATTATAAAATGATATATATCTAATTATTTGTCAATCTTTGATGTAGGAATCTGACTCCTCTGATTTTGTCTTTTATATGTAGATATATGCCACTAAACTTAAAATAGACGTATATATTTTGTCATGCATATACGCACATAATATGCCATCTAAAAGCCCTTATAATTATATGGATAACTTTTGTTTTTCATTTGGAACCTCATTTAACTTTGTAACGAGGGACACCAGGAGAGTGGATGCCTAGACCGCAGCAGCATAAGAGGAACCTTCTTAAGTTTGCAACTTTGCATGATGTGATAATCTAAAATATTTATATAAAACAATATCCAACTTATTTACTTTGTATGTTAGATCTCAATTCGACATTTGAGAATCATGAACATAGAGATCTATTTTTCAAGTGGTATTGTATTTGTATATCAATAAAATATAGTGTTTTGAAAACTGGACCGACCGGTGGTTGAACCGGGTTCGACCATGAACCGGACATATGACCGGGTTAGATTTCTGGTTTGGTTTAAAAACAATTAATACGATGAATTAATTAATTATTTTTGTTTATAATTATTTTAAATCTTTAGTATATGTTAGATTAGAAGTTATTTCACAAAATTTAATTTTTCTAATACTATTATATTTATATTTATACCTATATATCAATTTTTAACTATTTATATTTATATTTTCAAATTTATATGCTTAAAAATAAATATAATAAAAATTATTATGAACCGGGTTTAACCCGGTCAAACCAAATTGAACCATGACCCGGATGTTTATCCGGTTCGCCTTCCGGTCCAGTTTTAAAAACACTAATACGAAATAGGTAAATGAGGCCAAAGATTGTTGTTATGTAAAAAGCAAGTCATTGCATCATATATCAAGTGGTCCAACGTATGACGATTATAAATGAACAATTGAACACGCAAGTCTATATAAATTATTAAATTGAACCTAACGAAATTAAAAAAGAAAAGAAATTGTAATCGAGCTAATCAAATATATTAGAAGTGTATTAGGTCGATTATGGACCGATATTATATCATGAACAAAACATAATGACACAAGCAAAATTTAGCTACACAAGTGGATACTCTCTTATGCCCTTAAGACATTGTTACCGACAGCTACCTCTTGGATAATAACATTGATGATGATTTCCCGACAAGACCGCAACAAACCGAGCTGTCTGATACAGCAGAAACGCAGGACACCAGTTCAAGACTCAATGTTTAGTCTGGCTTCATGAGCTCTCTAAGTTGTTGAATCCCCATGTTGTCTCTCAACATCTTTGCTCAGAAACCTATGGCAATAAAAGAATCCAAATGGAGTTTCTTTGAAAGGAAACATGTGCTCTCTCCTTAGCCTTTGAAGACATCTCTCAGCTTTGGCTCTGGATTTCTGCAAATAACGCTGTTTTCCATTAACATAATATCAAGCAGCAACACACTTACGAAACTTAAGCACAGAGTGAGTAGCTAAAAAAATGATGTTATATGGAGCACATAACAAGGTTACACATAATCCGGTGCAAGAATTTATACAAAGGTTGGGGAAAAATCTTGAATGAAAAGCAAACATACACTTCATGCCTTGTGTGTGTGTATACACAAATGTGTTCACGGAAAAACTCCATCCTCACTAGAGCTTCAATGAACGCCTTCTTCTCCACACACATCTCAGTGAATATACACATAGAACCATTGCAGCCTTCCCTCTGCAACGACAGCAGAAACCGGAATTTTGGTGTCACCAACACCTCCGTATCTCCCAAGGGGCATGACTCACCATTTCAGATTAAAAAGAAACTACATTTTCTTTGCATCATTTCCCCGGAGACATGAATGATGAAGTCCAGCCGCCGGTTCTATTCCCACTATCATACCCCGAATTCGAGGTTTCCGGTGGGAAAGCCGACTTTCCGACGTTTCTTTTTGAGGTACCCGCAGCAGGAGATAATGAAGTGGATGGCATGTTCATCTGCAAACAGAATTTCAGAAATATAACAATCATGGACACTCGCTGCAAAGGACAATATCGTGTTTGAATAAATCGTTGGTTCATGAGTACATACATTCTTGTGGACGGGGTGATCAAAACCAAGACTCCTCCCTGCGGCAGGATTGTTGTTTATCTGTGGGCTTGGACCAATGGCATTAGCCGATCTGATGCGTTCAGAGGCCTCAGCTTCATAAGGAATATTGGGTCCTCCTGCCAAACAGAGCATCAATAAAACAGAGATTTCGAAACAGACAATTGCAACAAGAAATAAAACAAGCCATTAGCTGGAGCTTACCCCGATGATTGCTTGTGTCCATTGGTATTGCACGAGAATTGCTAGACCCAGGAACTGCCTGCAGTACAAATGACATCATTTTAGTTAGAAAGTAGTGAAATTTGTCGTTAAGGAACTGAAAAAAATATATGCATATGCTTAAGCTAGAAAACAAAACATTAGACTGATAGACTGTACCTGAGACTGGTTTCTATTTTTCTGTGCTTGTTGATACTTAATTATAGTCCAGTCAAATATATAGTCGAACTCATACCCTGCAGAGAAGAAAACATTTAACTCAGATAAATGATGCTAGAAATTCCTATTAGCTGAGGGGATTATGTAGGGGATGGAGAGATGTCTTTTTCCAAGTACCTTCCCGTGAGAATAAATCGCGAAAAAGCCGCTTCAAGAATCCATAATCAGGCCGCTGATCAAATGTCAGCGTGTGGCAATAATGAAAATAAGAAGCAAACTCCACAGGATGATTCTTGCATAAAACCTACAAAGGATGGATATGGATATTTAGTCGAGTGAAGATTAACAAAAAAGAAAAGAAAATTTCATCATACACTAGAGGGAAACAGACCTCAATGGGAGTTGATATCTTCTTCTCACAAATCTTGTCATATTTTTGCTTCTTGTCAACAGCCTTTAGACCCTGCCACGGAAGACTAAAAAAAAAAAGTTCATGAAAACAGGACACAATGTAGTAAGCAAGAAAAAGGTTGCGAATCTCTATGAAAAACCACAATGTTCGCTAGTTTCTCTCAAGGCGAAAAAGCCAAACACACCTTCCTCTTAGGAAATACAGAAGCACATATCCAAGCGATTCTAGATCATCCCGTCGACTTTGCTCTGTGAAATAGAAACCAAAAATATATGAGCAAAGACAATCTACTTCACATAATGAGAAAAAAAAAACTGGTAGCATTCCTTACCAATTCCAAGATGAGTATTACAACTTGCATATCGTGCTGTTCCTGTTAAATTCTTGTGTTCCCTGAATATAGCCACACAAATGCACTATGTCATATGACGTTACCATAAAACTTAAACACACAGATTGAATCACAGCCACAAATACCTGTAAGGGATGTGGCGGTTGGTGTTGGCATCACGATATCTTTTGGCAAGTCCAAAGTCAATCACATAAACCTGATTCGCTTTCCGTCCAAGGCCCATGAGAAAGTTATCAGGTTTGATGTCTCTATGCAGATATCCTTTGGAGTGTACATATTCTATTCTCGTTAGCTGCAAGTAACAATAGAATTAGATGTTCAATGTATCAGTCAAGAGAGCTGCTTAGTATGCAAATACCATCAACAACAAGATTCGACCTTAAGCAAACCCATACCATTTGGTCAGCCAACAGCAAAACCGTCTTTGGTGTGAATTTTCTTCCGCAATACACGAAAAGATCTTCGAGACTTGGCCCTAGCAAATCCATCACTAATGCATTCTCTGTTCCATCCACTCCAAACCATCTTATTCTCGGAATTCCACCTGCAAAACCACAAACACATAGCAAAAAATTAGCTTCTGCGATGTAACAGCCTTCGAAATGATCGGTGTCACTAGAAGGAATGTGTTTTTACTATCAGCAAATTCACCAATTACATACTTCCTCCTTCAAGAACTCTGTACAGCTTGGCTTCGTAGAGAAGTTGAGGATGCTTCGTTTTACTGTTCTCCTGCAGAAAAGCAAATCCAAAATGATCCGAGTTAGAGACAATTGTCAAGCTAGAAGAAGAATCTATGGCATCAATCCAAGTAGCTCAAAGCTTGCTTCACTGATCAATTTAGAGTCAAGTCAATTCAAAGACCAATACGAAGGAAAATGAAATATGAAAACAGAACAGATCCAAATAAAATGGATTCGGCTCAAATCTAAGGAACTGAATTTAATGAACTTACAATCTTAACGGCTACGATCTCGAAGGTATCGACGTGTGTAGCTGCGGAAGAAACAAAAAAGGAGGAGTTAAATTTCGAATCAAAGAGGGAGACACGAGAAACAATTGACGATTGAAGAATAATAACACACCCAGAAAAATCTCTCCGAAAGAGCCACCGCCGATCTTCCGGCCGAGCTTGTACTTGCCGCCGATGATACGTTCCATGATAGAAGCTCCGATCAGAAACGAATCTGGATGATGCGCATAGATAGATAGAGAGAGATAAGGATTTAGGGTTGTTTTATTAGTTGAACATTTTGACTATTGGAAGTTTGGCCAAACGGATACATTATTATAACATTTCTTTAACAAATCGGTGTGCCATGGACCCAGGCTTTGAGCCGTGTTGAATCTGTTGATCCTCCTAACCAGTAACCACTGCTCCAATATGGGTCCGGAAATCTTTGAACGAGGGCATTAACGTAATTTCTCATCTAAGCTAAGCTTAGCTAGGTAGCTAAAATCTAATAATACACTTGTTCTATCAAGTCGTCAAATCTGCTGTATCAATCAGTTCTAGCCCTCCAGGTAGGTGCATTTTTATATACGTATCTGAATAATGGAATATTCTTATTTTCATAGCACACAATCAAGTAGTAAAACAATCACACACACCATAAAAATCCCGACAAAAAAAAAAATGATTACGAATTTCAGAGAAAAGAACAGGAGAAACAATTATCGGAGTATTCTGGAGGCAAAACCTGTTAGTATATTGGCAATAATCATAAATAATGAAACCATCACATAATTTTGCTGCAAACCAGTTAGCTTGGCTAAACGAAACGGTGTCGGTATGGTTGGAGTCTGCGCGCATAGCTTTGATGCTGACCTGTCCGTGCCACAAGCAAGCTCGTTACTCAAAAGCCTTTTGGAGAAAATCTCTGCGCTCAAGCTTTGGCTGTTGATTTTCTGCAATGAATGTTGATCAAAGCAGCAAAAAACCCATGTTACGCCCCAACTCAGGGAACTAGGCACAGAAACATAAACTGATGAAGAATGGATCACAAGAAGCAAATTACACGTCCGGTTGCAAGATTATAATACAAAGGTTGAAGTCAGTCATTCACTCATTTGGGAGAGAATCTTCAACGAAAGCAAGCAAACATAATCTCCCATGCCTTTGTGTGAAACAATAGGCTGTTCATGGAAAAAGCTCCATTTCCAGATCTTTCAACTTCGTCTAGAGCTTCCATTGCAGAAATCACACAGTTTAGCTTCCACAGGCAGACATATAATCTTTGTTCAGCAGATCAGAACAAAGAGAAACTACAACTTTGTTTGAATCATTTCCCCGGAGACATGTATGATGGAGTCCAACCACCGGTGGTTCTGTTCCCATTGTCATACCCAGAATTTGAGGTTTCCGGGTTTCTTCTTGAGGTACCTGCCCCAGGAGCTAATGAAGTGGCTGGCATGTTCAGCTGCAATGGGTTTTCAACAAAATGCCAGTCAAAATCAGTATAGTTTAATGGTATTGACTATTTAGAAGAGGCAAATGCATGACTACGTACATTCTTGTGGAACGGATCAAAAGCAAGATTCCTCCCTGTAGCTGGATTACTATTTAATTGTGGGCCTGGACCAATGGCATTAGCCGATCTGACACGCTCAGAGACCACGGCGTCATTTGAAATATTGGCTTTCCCTGCGAAACAGAGAGTTAGCACCAACACAGCAGAGATATTAACAAGCAAGCGAAGCGAAAATCAAAACCGTTAACTATAGAGCTGACCTCGATGATTGCTCGTGTCCATTGGGATTGCACGGGGGTTGCTAGACCCAGGAACTGCCTGCAGAAATACAAAAGAAGTTTGAAGTTAGAGAAAGAGGCATGTCTCCATTTACCAACAAAACTAATACGAACGTAATAGCAGCAAAAATCAAGGAAAACTATACCTGAGACTGATTTCTGTTTTTCTGTGCTTGTTGATACTTTATTATAGTCCAGTCAAATATATAGTCGAACTCATATCCTGCAAAGAAGAAAGCATTTAACTCAGCGAGGTAGGTAATTTATGCTGCCGAGTCCTATCAGCTGAACGAATTATATAGGGGATGGAGAGATGTCTTTTTCCATGTACCTTCCCGTGAGAATAAATCACGGAAAAGCCGCTTCAAGAATCCGTAATCAGGCCGCTGATCAAATGTCAGCGTGTGGCAATAATGAAAATATGAAGCAAACTCCACAGGGTGATTTTTGCAAAGAACCTGCAAAGGATGGGATATGATATGAATATTCAGTCGAATGAGGATTAACGGAGAAAAACAGTCCCATCATCGCACAGAAGAGAGAAAACAGACCTCAATGGGAGTTGATATCTTCTTCTCACAAATTTTATCATATTTTTCCTTCTTGTCAACAGCCTTTAGACCCTGCCATGGAAGACTGGAAAAAAAAAAGAAGGTTTATGAAAATATGAACGCAATCTAAAGCAAGAAAACAGTTTAGCAATACACAATGTTCGCTAGTTTCTTTCAAGTCGAAAAGCCAACCACACCTTCCTCTTAGGAAATACAGAAGCACATATCCAAGCGATTCAAGATCATCCCGTCGACTTTGCTCTGCGAAAGAGAAACCAAAATATATATGAACAAAGACGATCTACTTCACATAATGAAGAAAAAAAATAAAATGGCAGCATTGCTTACCAATTCCAAGATGTGTATTGCAACTTGCATACCGTGCAGTTCCTGTTAAATTCTTCTTTTCCCTGAATAAAAAGGTAAAACGTTGTATAATGTGACTTTATCATCTACAGATGGAATACAAGGTAGGAATTGTATAATGAAAAACGGCCACAAGTACCTGTAAGGGATGTGGCGGTTGGTGTTGGCGTCACGATATCTCTTGGCAAGTCCAAAGTCGATTATATAAACCTGATTCGCTTTCCGGCCGAGTCCCATGAGAAAGTTATCAGGTTTGATATCTCTATGCAGATATCCTTTGGAGTGTACATATTCAATTCTCGTCAGCTGTAACAGCAGCAGAGATAACAAAATTTGGAAGCACATTAGAAGATAAAAAATGTATCAGCCAAGAGAAATGATAAGAATGTAATTGACATGTCAATATGTCATACCATTTGATCAGCCAAAAGCAAGACTGTCTTCAGTGATAATTTTCTTCCGCAATACACGAAAAGATCTTCGAGACTTGGCCCTAGCAAATCCATCACCAATGCGTTTTCTGTTCCATCCACTCCAAACCATCTTATACGCGGAATCCCACCTGCAAAACCACAAACACATAACCCAAAATTAGCATTTTACTGATATACTATATAGTATTTGGAATCGAATGAAGAATAGATAATCAAAGATACAGAAATGAGGAGCATACTTCCTCCTTCAAGAACTCTGTATAGCTTGGCTTCGTAGAGAAGCTGCGGATGCTTCGTTTTACTGTTCTCCTGCAAAAAAAGCAAATCCAAAATGATCAAAGTTAAAGACAGTTGTCAAGCTAGAAGAAGAATATATCGCAGCTCAAAAGCACCAATTGAAGGAGCTTAAAGCTTGCTCACTGATCAATTAAGACGAAGATGATTAAAAATTAAAAACAGAGCAGATCGAATCTCCAGAATAGATTCGTTTCATTAGATTAACTTACGATCTTCACAGCTACGATCTCGAAGGTATCGACATGTGTAGCTGCGGAAGAGAACAAACAATTCACGTCAATACGAATCAATTTTGAAACCGAAGAAGAGTAGATACTCGAGAAACAAAAGACGAGAACACACACCGAGAAAAATCTCTCCGAAGGAGCCACCGCCGATCTTCCGTCCGAGCTTGTACTTGCCGCCGATGATTCGTTCCATGGAAGCAGCTCCGATCGAAACCGAATCTGGATCATGCACAGAGATATGGATAGGGGGATTTAGGGATTTGTTCTCTTCGATGAATTCGACGATTGAAATTTGCGAAGAGAGGAAGCAGGAAACACGAGGGGATTTTAACGTGTAGTTTCTTTGGTAAAGCAAGGGTTAAATTACAGTTTGAGTTTGGCTGACGTGGATACAAGTATTATTGCCACGTCGGTGCGATGGAGGTTTTCTGTTTTGTTTTTTACTGTTTTAATTATTTTTTTGTCGGAATAACGGAGTCAACGCAATGTTGATTTTGTATTTTATTTTAAGTTCAACGTTTCAGTTTGACAAAAGATTTCAATATATTACTTACCAAAAGATTTGAAATATTTTTTTTTTCTTTCAACACTAAAGATATATAAAAAATGGATAAATTAAATTGAATTTTTTATCTGACTTATATATATAAAAAATTTGAGTTATAAATGAGTTGTTAATAATGATTTTTATATGATTTGTTTATAATAAAGAATAATAATTGCACAAATTTGAGTTATAAATGAATCAAACACAGACAAAAACTCCCCCAAAGAAGATAAACAGATTATGATGGAAAAATCAGAAACAACAAAGAAAGAATCATAGAAAGAAAGAAAAACTTTGCCCAAAGAAAAAAAGTTTGATTAGAATTGCCTCTTGGAGCATTCGGGAGGCATAACACCTTTAAACCTGTTAGTGTCTTTGCAATAGTCATAGATCATGAAACCATCTCGTATCTTTTGCATCCTGGCCAGCTGCAATCCAGTGAGCTGGCTAAACGATGGTGCAGTCCACCAATTAGACCGTACGGTTGGGTCTGCGCATTTCTTGATGCTGGCCGATCCCTCCCACAAGCAAGCTCTTGCCTTGTACCTACGACCCTCGGCCACAAACGGTGCTTCTGTCCAGTTTGTCTTGACTCGACCTCCTTGTGTAGCCCAGTCGTCTGCGTTCCATAGACTCGCAAACACTTTCATACCTTGCCTGTTTGGGTATGCGATTCCTTCTTTCTCGTAGTTCCTAAAGACTCTGATAGGAGTTCCATCCACGAACCACCTATAAGATATATAACATGATGTGTGACATGTTTCTTTTCTAGAAAAAGAAAATATAAGCTTAGAAACTCTAATCTAATTACTTACACAACTTCGGATGGATTCCAATGGATGGTATAGTTGTGGAAACCACTGGTTGGGTTAAACCATGGTCGGAATTGTTGCTCGCGGTTTCCTTTGCCTTTAGCAAATATGTTTGTGTGGATCGTGTACGGTTGACCAGTCGCATTCCCTAGAAACTCGAAGTCTATTTCGTCGTGTGCACTTCCCGTAGAAGATAACTAAGTAAGAAAAATCATCCATCATCAAACTCACAAAAACCATTAACACATTTTTTTTGTGTGAATAATTGTGTAATATTATCGAGTTTAAAAGCTTTTATTAAAAAAAAAAATACATAATAGGCTACGACGGTTCCAGCAGAGTTTCCTGGCACAAGTTTGATGAGCATTTCTATGCTTCCGAACAAATGAGCCACTTTTGATCGAATAGCAGATCCTGCGGAAAAAAAAAAAATAGTATTCACACATTTATATGTTTGTCAATTTTTTCTCATGAAATACAGATAAAAATGGACTGCAGGTTTAAAATTTATGTTACGAAATATTTTATATACCTGCAGATTTGTCTAGGACAAGTCGAAGGTTGCCATTACTCGTACCAATATGGTCTTTACCCCATGTCACAACCATAGCCTTGTCGAAGTTTGCGTCCACAAATGTGCGATCTAGAATCGCTAACGCAGCCACCAGGGCGAACATTAGCGTTTGCGCTCGGAGACCTGCCATGATACGAATTTGGCTGGTGTTTAAAGCGTTTTTGAATTGGTTTCTGTTCGATCGCCATGAGGTTGTAAGAGGAGCTTTCTTTATATACAACTTCTAAAGTTCGAGATTTTGACATCGTCCAAAGAGTGGATTGTTTTTGACGTGCACCTAATGAACTTTGTATGCATGAACTAGAGACAACTTTATAATTAAATAACTTAATTCTTTTATATATAAAGAAGATGCTATGATAAATTTGGTACTATGAATTTGTTGGTTTCTTATAGTTTAATTAATCTATTAAATAGATATAAAACTAAAAGATAAGAAGATGGACACTGCTGGCTCACGCGGTTGTGATATAAGCTGAGGAATATATCGTGCAGGAGACTACACTAATGGGGGCGATGACCTTGTCATCAACTTTTCTTTATCAATATCCATACTTTTTCTTAATCAGAAATTTAAGCAAATAACAAATTCGCTTTACAGTCACATCGTTTTAAGAATCGTTCTCAAAATGCAAAAAAAGAAGGTTAACATTCGTTCCATTTTTTCTTTTCTTACAAGCATAGATGGATTTGAATATAAATAGTGACACATCGAGAATATATACCCATCTCAAACAAATTTTTAGCCTTTAGGTAAATAATTTTCTTTCATTTTCTTCCTGGATGCTTTTTAAAATTCTTTTCATGAGCCCTAGATACGGTCTCCTTGGCCAGCCTTTTAAAGTTGGTCCTAGTCTCCTAGACAACACTGAATATCGTGGTCTCATTCTTTCTATACTCGTTTCTGTCAACTTGTTTCAGGTATCAGACCGGTCCAAAGCCCTTTCAAAGATACCTTAAGTTTCAGCTTCACGGTCCAAAACATCATACTATCCAAAGAGGGCCGGATCCATCAGTTGGCAACTTGGAATCCATACATACAATTGGTTACAATATTTTTTGTTTTAATGAAAAGACATAACTTAATAAATTTAAGTTTGTTTTCGGTTAAGATGAGAGATTGGACACTTATGTGTGGCTTCCGCAAATCTCCGTTCAAAATCATTTTGATTTCGCCACTGATGAACTATAACATTGTAAACTTAACGGATTCTTCATTTAGATTAAAACAAATCCATAAAGGTCTAAAAGTTGAAGACATAATTAAAACGTGTTTTATAGGTCTTTTCTGATATAAATAATCAAATCTAGTGATCAATCAAGAATAACTTTCGGTGGGTGTGGAATAGTATTGGAATATTCTTATCTATTATATTCACAATAAATCTCGATCAATGGAAAATAGACAAATATGGTACGAGAAAAGGTTTGACAATGAGTAAAAGATAATACGGATCGCGTTTTAGTTAATCTTGTTGAGAAATCATAATTATATGCTCAAAACTATTAGATCATTGCCACCAATCACCATCAGTCCAAAATGTTGTATCGCTTTTATTCTTACTTTACCACTAGAGTCAAGAGACCCAAGAAGCCAACCAATTGAAATATATTATAACAGAACAATTAATTTAAATCTTAATCAGGAAAGCAATCAGTCAACATCATTTTTTTATGATGTCGTATCGTTGTTGGCCCTTTCTTACAACATATAATCATACAAAAGTATGACTAACATTTTAACTGATCCGAAATTACTTTTGTCAATATTTCATTTTCTAAATTAGGGATATACAATAAGATTATGCATCTTGAACCTAAAAGAAAAGAAAAAAACAAATATATACAGAGATAACTGTAGGACTGCTTTGATTTATATAGAATGATGTAGATATACAAACATACTCTAGAAAAAGAAAAAAAATCATCTTCTTAATATCAAAATCTGATACCCAAAGATCAAATCAAATGATGATTGATGCTCTATATATTATTTTTTCTAATTTACTTTGAAAGTATAACAAATCCATGACCTCTTTTTAAATAATATGAGTTCATACATTGGTCAAAGTGACAATCTCAACTCCAAATCTGGCTCAGTTGCGTCACTCGTGTCGAAGTTCTGAATACCTGATCCCAAGGGTTTATTTCTCGGATCCTATAACGATGGGAAAAAAAGATCATGAGAGATCCATATATTTAGCTACAATTTTGAGACCTCTACGTATGTGTACATATGTATGGGTTTTATGTTTAAAGTAATAACCTCATGTAATAAGTGTCGGGTTATGTTTGGTTCCGCAAAATGTTGGCTCTCCAAAACACCGTAGCTCGGGTCCCAACTGTACATGTGTTCTAAAAATTATTAGCTTTCCTTTATTTATAAAATATATCACAGCCAGGAATCTAAATGCATATATAAAACAAAATAACATATAAATTAAATAATCTATATGCATAAAGCATAATGCATATGATCTGTAAATATAACAATGTGTACGGACCTTGGTGCAATGTAAGGCTGAGAATCTCCGTATCTTATGGTTGTTCTCTCGTATTGATCATTACTTGCATGCATCTGTGAGATCCCAAAGAGAATAATGAAAAACTGATTCGTATTACTATTACTTACAAGGAAAATTAGACAGACCTTATCCCATTTATTTTCATTTCACGCCAAGTAACTAGTGACAGAATGCTATGACATTTGTTTGAAATTCCTTTACTTTTTATAGGTAGAAGACATGATAATCAATGCATGCGAATATAACTGAAGATTTTGTGTATTAAGTTGAGATATTTAAAATTAAAATGATTTCAAACATAGTAAAGAATCTGATTCAAATTTCTTCTAAATCTATAAAAGATATGCATTTGAGAACAATCATGTGATGTGTATATCATTAGTTTGTCAAAGAAAATAAATTATACTACTAGATGCAATATATATGCAAAACACTGGACTTGGCATATATATATTTACCATCATGTTTGGAGGAAAGCCATAATGAGCCGATGATGGTGATGAAGATGATATAAATGGATATCCTCCTTGAATCCTCACATCCTCCTATATTATTTTACATCCATACAGCCCATTTCGATCAACAAAGTGAAATAAACGCATGAATCTGTATATAAATCTATGTCATTCCAAAATTCGAATTAAATATGTATCACGTATCGAAACATAGAATCTGTTATGATGAATGATCATGATGTTAGAAATTTTTACTAAATCGCAGTTTTAAAATCTTGTCAACAAACCCATATAAAGCATATACCTACAATTAGCTATCATGATCAAGAGCAAATCCCAATTAAAATTTTCTGTTATGGTTGAAGATTCGATACCATATTTTTCTTTATGATATTTTAAAAGTTTAAACCAGCACTATACTAAATACTAAACTATTTCTTAACAAATCTATAGACATGTATGTGTGAAATATGTACCTGGTGACTGAACGTTGATGGATGATAAGAAGGATAAGTATCGAAACTGTTGCAATTATATTCACTGTGTAATCTGATCTTCTCTAACTGCGCTACGCCGAGACCCCTTTGCGGCTGCTTAGGCTTATCAGAACCATTCTTATTCTTTCCTCTCTTTATCGGAGAAGAAGACGTTGGTGATGAAGATGAAGATCCACCCATTTTTGGTCTTCCAAAGAAACTACTACCCATTCCTTGGCTTGAACACTCAGAACAAAAATAAATAAAAATCGAAAACTAGAGAGAGAAAGTCTTTGCTAGAAAGAGAAACACCCAACAAATTTCTTATATGTGTGGGGTTGGTTAGTTAGCTTTAAATTGAGGAATCCGAGAGATCTCTAATGGTGATCTCTTCTTTATAAGCTTCTTATTTTATTTATAAAAATCTTTTTTATGTTCTGTTTTTAAATTGAGTAACTACTGCATCGCTGGATCAGATTGTATCCAGATTTCATTAGATATGTCCCACACATACATACATTACATAGATTTTATGCCCTTATTTTGATTTCACAATTAATTCTGACAAAAATAAAACATTTTATAAACAGTAATAATTGTGCAATATTATAATCATATTTGATCATATATCTTCTCATTTTTTCCTCGGCTTTGGATGACTTCTAAGTTCTAACACAAAAGACTACAAGTCTACTACAATGCTGTTCGATTTAATCACTTTTCAAAATGTTTCGGAGCATATATTTTCATATTGACCAACATAATTACATAAATGAATTAACCAGGATATTTCATATTTTGCGTATATATCATCTTTATTATTATTATTTTGAATATTATTATTTTAATGTTGTGTCTAAATGATTTTGCTGGGACATCAATGAGACATAAATAGCTCTGAGATTTTTTTTTTTTTTTTTTTTTTACTTTTATGGGATGTGATGTAGAGAAAGACTCGATAAGGTCATAAACTCTGTATTGTAGATTTCTTAACTCCTTTACGGCAATTAAAAAGAGAAAGTGAATAAAGATCACACTGCTGCCTTACTCATAAAGGACTTAAAATGGTCAGCAGAAAATAAATAAATATTCTTAAAACGTGTTTTATTTCTATGGGGAAATTGATTATATCCAACAAAAAAAGTCAAGAACATAGCACCCGGTCCAACTTGCATTTAGAATTGTCTCAGCAAATATAAATGTTTTTTCACTCTATTTATTTTTAAATGTAAAAAAAATACTATTAATTTTCATAACTAAAGAACGTTCTCGTTTCTATATTAATATCGTTCACAGAAGTTTTTTATAGTCTAACATTTCATATCAATAGATTTAGTTACTTAACACTTTCTAGAGACATTATCACAATATGTATAATTCTATAACTATCAGTTCTGGTGTGGCTCCTTTATGAATTACTAGAGGACGAGTTTTCCGGTTGTAGTATTAGGCAATCGATTAATGATATTAGCTACAATTATCCTTATTAATTTTAGTCCGAGATAATATTTATCAATTACGATATACTTATGTCGTGAATCATGTGATCCCCCGAACATCTCTCCTAGCCTAAATAACTCAACAAATAATAATTAAGTAGTAAAGGGTCACATTTTTTAAAAGACAAGGAACAAACAGGTGTGTGCCACTTGGTAGGTCAGATGCTGACGAATTAATATTCTTTCTTAGTAATGACGCCACTTTCATTTTGATTAACTAACATAAAAAATATAGTTATATGTTCAAGAGAATAGGTTTTGAATGGTAATAATATAATACCTAAATTGATTTTAAGGTTAAATTACCCGTGACCTTTGTTATTGTTGGTTACAAACTTTGGGATACTTTGCCGATGCTTCGATATGCTTTTGAGCATCTATTCGATCTCGTTCGCAAGCCTCCACGTTTCTCAGCCTACTAATCGTCTCTAGACTTTATACTCATTTGATATGAGATTCGTAAGCTCGTAAAAATCATCGATTTAACGGCAACGATACGGATTTTTGCGTATTTTGATCTCACTCACTTGATATTAAAAAAATTCATATCCTAAACCCAAATATTAAGTCATCTACTCTAACAAAATTAACTCGGATGGTGACGTATAGACCGTAAAAATACAAACACAAAATCATATGTTTTGGTTCGCATAACACCAGAATTTGCAAATTAAAGCATAGTGGATCGAATGTATACAGAAAATTCAGTTTAAAATATATTATATAATATCTACTGTAGATTTTGTGCACATGCATTCCCCTGCTACACTATATTACATTGTCTATATCTCGTTCTTTCCGATTTTTAAATGTTGTCATATTATTTTGTAAAATACTTTATATAAAATATGAATTCGAATCAAATCTTATTGATCATGTTACTTACCTTGACAACCAATCAAACATAAAGTTCCATTTTGTAGATGAATTCTTAATTATAATTTTCGTAATTACACATTACTAATATGAGACTAATTCTTTTCACATCTTTCATCTCCTTTTGCAATAACCTATAGTTACTATCATTTGCAATCTAAGTGATTATCAAGGATGGTCTCATCCCTTCTATTACATTTATGTAATATACGATGTTTTCCTTAAACATATCTTGTTCTTTAGTTTTCATTGCAATCTGTAAGTAGTCTAACAATGGGTTTATAAGTGAGCGTAAGATTAGGAGATTAATGAAGTCTAGGGCTAGATATTTACAGACCATTCATGTAGAATGTGCATGTACAATATCATCACTCTTATTGGTGTTCTTTCACTGAAAGTTGGGGTTTAGGGAAGAACAAATCAAGTTTATAATTTATTTGGGTGGTTATAAATTATAATCACCCAAATAAATTGGACCGAAAGTTGATCAAATGGGGAGAACCGAAACTGGATCGGTAACATCTCGGGATCAAATAAACTGATCGAACTGATTTATATGGTGATGAATATTTTTCACGGAATGGGATCGGACACTTGGTCTGGTTGATCCACAGGGAAGTATTACAAGGTTTTCGATAACTCGTCCAGGTAGACATTATCTTTAATCTGTATACAAGAAGTATACTCTAGCAAGTGACATGCATGTGAATCATGGACGCATGGGCTTAAAATCCACTTCCTTTTTTGTCACAAATAATTATCCACTGGTTAGATTTGTTTTCCATATAATAGTAATTAGTTAAAGATATCTACTAAGGTATGTCCAATTAAATTGGCTTCAGTTATGGAGATTAAATTAATTGATTAATAAAGGAGATCCTGGTCACATAAACACACATGCATAACCTACAAAAACCAACTGGCTGTTCAAATTTCAACAACTATATCAATCATATAAATAAAGTATTCTGAGGATTTCCAGACATGTGATGCATTTTTCTTGGATTTATACGTATCCTGGTTTTAGTTATGATTTTTCAGAATGTTATGCGGACGTGCATATTATATAGTTTGTCAATCTAACTACGTTGGGGTTCTGTTTTCACACAAATGTCAACAATCAGAAGGAAGAAAATAATGGGATTACGAAAACAAGAAAAAATAATGTGGTGGCCTATATATAGGCCCTATAGCTTTTGATTTAAATTATTAATCTTTGATTCCATAGTGCATTGTGGTAAATTTTTTTTAATATGTCTCATGAATAAATCCAGAAAAATATTCTAAGAAGAAAAAAAAAAACATAATAATGCAGAAAAATGATAAAGCTAGAACTTATAACGAAGAGCTGAAAGATGTGTACTTAGTATCATGCAAACAAATGATTATTCATAACAGGCTACTTATAACATTGTGGTTAGTACTTAGTATCATGCAAATAATTGACAAGTTCAAAATTTGTTGACTTATTGCTCTAGATCAAACATCATATACATAATAATAACAAGAGGCGAGCTGTGTTCACATCTAAAGATATTATACTCACAAACTGTACTTATTTAGCTTGTGGAGGTTAAAAGGTTTTGATAATTGAATTAAGTTTAGGAAAAAAGATAAAAAAAACAAAAAAGCGAAGTGCTTGACAAAAGAATAGCATCTCTCCACATGCAAGGGCTTCAGATTCAGGAAGATGATATCGCAGTTTCCAAGGTCATCTCTATCTAGCTGTCTACCAAAATCACTTTCAGACGACTCTATATATATTATAGTACTAATTATACATGTATAATTATATGGTTTATCTACATGATCATCTCGTTAAGATATACTATAGTTTAATTACACTGATTTCGTTTAAAGTCGAACTATTTTAAAAAATAAAATAATGATCTCAAGTTGACCAGAAACTTACAAGCAATCTAGCTATATTCTATACATATGTCAAGATAGATAATTGGTGCCACACCGGTAATAACTTATGTTATTGCCTTTTAAATCTAATACTCCATGTATGGAACGCAATACTATACAAAATTATTGGTTATTCATTTTTTTTCTAATCAAGAAGTTTCAAACTTAGACCTATACTTTCTTCGAATGCGACGAAAGCAGATTAAATTTCTACCGACGATGAAACTTTCCCAACTCTTCTCTTTTGGATGGCCAGAGTACTTAAAATGCTGATTGATGAACTCCCAACACCGGGTCAAGTTATAGAGTTAAGTGTTCACAACTTTCTTTTAGTCATATTTTTCACAAATTTAGTCAACGTTACGTATGACTAGTTATCGTAATGCATGTAGTTTACTTAGAAACAATATATACACAAATATACCAAAGTTTATTACAATAACCAAATATGCCTAAATAAGTTAAATAAAAAGTCAAGAATCAATATTATAAAAACAAATTTATTGAGTTGGGTATTCCATAAGGTATAGCTGAAAAATAAAATAAATTTTCAGCTACACAATTAGGGTCTCACGACATCCCTAGTTGTCTTGCGTGATCTATCCTTGGATTTGGATATGGGCTTATGGACATGATGGTTATTTTTTAAGGTTATGCCTAAATTATGATACTGTTATTCTTTTTTTTTTGTCAACATGATACTGTTATTCTTGAATGGCATTATTTTATTCGCATTTGATGGTAGTTGATGGTTTGATTGTGCGGTCAAATTGAAAATGAAGTTTCTTCCGTCGGATAACACAATTATATATAGCTTGAATACATATGGGAGATTTATTTTATATTACAAGTTGCTAGATTGTATATACATGTATGTATGTGTGTAATGTATATACTTATTGAACCACTTAAAGGGTTATCCATTTGCAACAAAAATAAACGAATCATGCATAAACTATGCATAAATCGTTAAAGACAAGGTCAATAGTCGTATAAGTCAACAAAAAAAGATGTGTTATACGTAAGATTTACAATAATTGACATTTGGTGCTAAAAGGAAAATTGGTAAAAAAATCCATCTTTTTTTTCATGTCACAAACTCAAAAGCCATCAATAAGATGAGTTTACCAAAGCAAGAGGTTCGGTTACTTTAGTCATTAGTGTATATAAAAATGAAAATGTAGTCGATACTCGATAGGAGTAGGAAAAGTTCGTCCCACGTGGGAGAAGATATAAATAAATCATGAGAATCGTTGATGCTGAATCTTTATTAGCTCTAACCGAATAAATTAAGCAGTTTCTGTTCGATGAAGCTTCCTCCACCATTAACCATTCATATACTATACATTAATCACGGATTAAACTATAGTCTAATACCTTTCCAACTTTTTCTTCTCTCCTTTCTGAATGATTACTTCTAGCAATCTTTTAGATAGTACAGATTTGATTTCATTGGCTGCTTATTTGCTAATTAATTAAGTTGGCATCCATGCTGTTCCTCCTTTTCACTAATACTTTACTAATTATTTACCTTTCTCTTAATAAAACGTATCTTCTTAATCATACAGATCAGTTTCAGAATCGTTTTCATTTCTTATTCAAAAATTTTGCTACTTTTTGCGAATATGTTCTCTTAGGAGGGGACATTTCGGTTCAAAAGTTGTAAGTTCCAACTATTTCGGTTTTAAAATCGAAAATATTGTTACTCAACTAAAACAAAAACAATTTTGTTTGGTTGAGTTTATAGAAAAAAAAAGTATCAACATAATGATATATCAAAGCCATTTACGTTTGTAAAGTTTACTTGTGGAGAAAATAACTTAGAGACAAATTGATAATCTCGAATGAGAGAGCTCTCTCTTGTCACATTTGATCACTTTCCATCGAAAAAAAAAACTGTATTTTAGCTAGTGAAGATGATTATATAAAACCTTAAGATCATATCATGAAATCATTCCATATATAATAAACTCTTAACTCAAAGCTAAAAACATTACAAGATCGTGACGGTCTAGTTCTGTTTAGGCACAAAACGCCATAGATCAACAGCAATATCGACTTCTTTTCGCTTGTGGAACTTGTAGAGTTTCGGCACGTCGTACCGGAGCTGCAAGAGGAACACAATACGAATGAATTAGAATGTTCATACACATTTTCATATGATATTTTCAAAATCTTTCAGTCCCCTACCTCACACAGAACCTCAGCACTTTTCGCATTGAAGTCGCGCAATGCCGCTCTTTTAATATGCTGCGACAATGTACATAAAGTTTGTTACTAAACTACATACATAGACAAGCCTCAAGCGTGAACAGTAAGTAGTAGTATTATACTTACTTCTCTGGTAGATGTCTTATGCAAGGAATAAACAGCTTGAGAGGCGACCTAAGTATAACAAAACATTGAAGATGTAAACATTTGAGATTCAGAAAACAGTGAAAGAGTTTTCGTTTTCTCCTTTTTTACCTTCATTGCCGCAGAGAGAAACTCCATGTCAGCTCCTTTCTTTCGTGTACCAAATGGAGGGTTCATTACAACAGTATCCACAATCTTGCCTGAAACAATTCATTGATTAATAAAAAATGTTACCTTTTGGTTGGAATGAAATGAGTTTTTTTTTACCTTTTAACTGTAGTTTTGTAATGTCACACTGAACGAAATCTATCTCCACCTGCGCATGAGCAAACCGATTACACTACAACCAAAAAGAAGACTCATTTACATGAAGAAGAGTTTCAAAAATGTAACAACCTCAAGTTCCTCTGCATTTAGTGTAGCTGTTTCAAGAGATTCCGTGTCGATATCGTATCCAATCACACAACTGTTTGAAGAAATGAAAAAAAGATTTAACAACCACAGAGATTGAAATTTGAATGGATAGATGCATTGATAAGAGAACAGTGGACCGGTAATACTCACGCTGCATCTAGAAGAGCAGCAGCAGCACTTAAAGTACCACAACCGCAACCAAAATCCGCAACAACCTTATCAGTTATGTCTCCATATGAATTCTCTGCCTAAACAAGAGAAAGATTCAACACAGGAACACTTCAGGCTTCTTCAAGTAACAAGAACAAAGCCAAAGAACAACTCAAGACTACAGAAATCTGACATCCAATCATTTCAATCATTACTAGCCTGTTATGAATCTCTCTTCCAACCCAATTAGACATAGAGCCGAGCAAAAACGCAGAGTGAGATATCTACGAAATACCCATTTCACAGAAAGACTGTAGACAGCAAAAGTAAGAAATTTTGGAGCAAAGGAAGAAGGAATTTTACAGTGAAAAGCATGCGAGAAGCAATGTGAGGACCAGTTGGGTATTGCTCCAATTCCACCTGCAACACACCAAAATATACAGAGTTTGTTCAACGAAATCAGCAACGAGACTTCCAGATAACAGAAAAACAAGCTTTAAAGATCTAATTTTTCGTCGCATACTTTAGGATTAGAGAACTGTTCGAGATCACCCAGCAAGCCTTCTAATTGCTTCAGCTTCATCTTCTCCGGCGCTTCTGATTACTGAAGCAAAATCCCTCCGAGACAAAATAACCATCAGACAAAAAAAAAGAGGAAAAAACAAAAAAACAATATGGGCTTAGACTCTAAATTTTAGGCCCATTGGCTCAATCTCTCTCTGAAGAGGTGTTTCCCTTGAGCTCGAGGTTTCGTCTCCCCTGATTCGCGTCGCTCGCTGAGAGAGAGAGAGAGAGAAGATGTGTCCTCGACCTACTCGAACATGCGAAATCTGCGAGAAAGTTGTATCCAAATACACCTGCCCTTCTTGTCTTATCCCTTAGTAAGCCATCTTCTTCTTCTTCTTCTTCTTCGTCGCATTCCCATGAATTAGGATTTCAGTGATTGATCTTTACTTTGTTAACGTGTCCTGCAGCTGCTCCTTGAGTTGTTTCAAGATACACAAAGGCAAGTTTTATTCTTTTCTTCTTTTTGTTTCTGAATTCGTAAAAAAGTTTAAACCTTTTGAGCTCACTGATTGATGTTAATTTCTAATTGAGCTCTTAAAGTGTTGGACTTTGCAATGAATGTCTGGACTTTTCTCATTCAGCTTCAACCTCATGACAGAAATTTAATGTCGATTATGTTGATTGTACCCCCAAGAGAATAAATTTATGTTTATGTATCAGTTTTTTGCTTCAGTGAAAGTTTTAGCTTAAGAATCTTGATTCACTTCAGGTTGTATGTTGATGTTTGTTCTAACTATGTAATCTGACCAATGATGCAGAAACTCCATGTGCTAAACCTTCTTCCACCGAGGAAAATCCAGGTTAGTAGTGCATTTGGTCCTTTTGATTGTTTCTTGATTTGAGTCTTCCTTTGTTTGGTTTTTTTTTTTCATATCTTTGAGTCATGCTCTGGTTTTGTAGCGGCTTCTCCAACAAAGGAAGTCCCTGTGGAGAAACCAGTGTGTGTCGAGGAAGCAAACGTTGTTATAGAAAAGACACAGCTCAAGGCCATTGGTACGTCTCTTCCAACTTTTAGTCTCCGTTTAGATTATTGTGCTGAGTTTTAAAAGTCCCCAACAAACGTTTGATCTTGGGTTTTGTAGCTGCAACTCCAGTAATCTCTGTGGCAAGACCGATAAATGTAGAGGAAGAAAAGTTTGTTGTAGACAAGACACAGCTCGAGGCTATAGGTTAATGTTTTTCGAAACCTATTACTCTCATATATTATTCTTTAACGGTCTTCATTGCTCATAGAGTCTCGTTGCTTTGGACAAGAACTGTCTGGAATATACTAACACTGTCTGCAAAAGTTACTTCACAATCTATAGCTTCATATGCCATTTCTGAATCTGGGAAGTTCTTGCAGCTTCTTCTAGTGAAATCCGAGAAGCTCTAAAGGACGAAGCCCTTCAGAAACTTATCTTCAATATTGATACTTCTTCCAACCCTTTGAAGGTAAGCTCATCCACATGGTCATGGTGTCTTTTTTGCTGTTATCGATGTATTTTGACAAGATTTGACAAAACTGTTTGTGGATGTGTCAGGAACTCGATGAAGCCATGGGAGTAGAAGCTTTCCGCATATTCACAGATAAGGTACAGAGTCTTTAGAGCCTTTAAACGGCTTTCGAAGAACTTGCAACAATTCATGACCAGCAAAAGAGCCTCTGCTAAGGTTTTCACATTGTTATTTTTTCTCAGATTCTATCAAACATTTCGGAGAGTAAATGACCAGCAGCGTTCGTAGTCTCACATCCGAACTTAACTTCCAGAAGTATTCTTGATTAATGTTTTCGTTACGAAGCTTTAGTTGCACGAGAGAATTGTTCATTTTGGCTGTTATAAAACGACGCCAGTTTTGGTAAACACATACATTTCTTCTCTGTCTCGCTTTGAAAACTGTATGTATATAAACCCACCAACAAGATTTCCAGGTTCTTATGTTTACAGAAACAGAAAAAAAAAGTGACCTACTTTTAACATTAAACAGACCAAAATTTTACATGTTGGCTCTCCGGTAATCTTCAAAACTGTGATTTGCTTGGAGAACTTATCTTTTTTGACTCCACACATCAACCTGCAACGACACAGCAGAGATGAATCTGTCAGAATCTAGAACATTATCTATAGAGCCATTTCCTGAATTTCTTACAAACCTGTTGGTTGGTTCTCCTGATCCTCAGGTTCATTGCTACTACTTGTTTGATTCTTGGCAAGAAGAAAAAAAAGGATCTTGTGAGTTGTGAGTATCAGTAATGTAGGAATAAGTACAATGGATAGTGTGAAAGAGTTAACCTGCACCGGAGGAGGAGGTTGTTGCGTCTGGTGGAGACCAACAACCTGACTATACGGATCCATGTAAACCGGTAACTGAGGCTGGTTCGGCAGCGGTTCAGGCTGCTGCTGACTAGGCAACTGGATGACTGTCGATGGTTCAGAGGCTTGAGTGATTGGAAAAGGGTAGCGCCTTGATGGACCTGGACCTGGACCTGGACCGGGCAGATGAGCGTGCCTAGGAAAAGGTGTACCGGGGAAAGGTATGAAAGGAGGCCGGTTCATACCCATCATACCCATCGCCATTTGAGCCATGAACTGTTGCATATTCGGAGGCATCAAGTGTTGCATATTTGGAGGCATGAACTGTTGCATGTTCGGCATCATACCATATCCCGTCGACATCATCTGCATAAACAACACCGATTCATCTCAGTCATTACTATGAAGATATGTTTTGTTGGTAATGCTGTAGCACAAGGTCATATTAAGAGCGACCAGCAGCTATTAGTCCATCCATCTAAACCAAGTACCAATGTTTTACGAACTAGGACACACCTGTATTTGCATCTGTAGCGATTTCACGTAGTCGATAGCATCTTCCAGCATTGAAGCTTTATCAGACTGATCAAGATGAAGAGGAAATTTCAACCACAATCAACGTTAGATTGCAAAGACACTGAAACTGTGACGACAGACCTTGTTGCAGCGTGGGATGACTTCTTGCAGAGCCTTCATCCTCTCGTTGATCTTCTCTCTCCGTCTCTGTTTACAAAAATGAATGAAGATGAAACAAACAGAGAGAGGGTCCATTGTTGAAACTGAAAAACAATAATGTTGAAGGAAATATTCAAGAACCCTTTCGGAGATATTATGCATTTCTGCAGCTCTCGACCTCTTCCTAGACGTTGATCCACGAGCTTCTTCACTTCCCTGTACGCCAAAATGAAAAAAAAATAAAGCCTCGACTGCTAAACTGCACGGGTCAAATGACTAACAAGCGCCGAAATGGGTGGCGCAGGTTAACCAATATGGGGAAGATTTGACCGACTGACCTCGATTTCGTTAGTGGTTACTTCTCTCTCTTTCCGTTTCTCCGTCTCCGTCGCTGGTTGTATCTGAATCGGCTCTGTTTCGGCCTTTGAGACCACTGAAGATGATGTTCCGGCGATCTCACGAACCGTGTTATCCCTCCGACTAAGACCGGGAACTGCAAAAGTGTGGCCAACGAACGTCCTTCGACTCTCTCCGCCCTCCGCCGCTGGTGTTAGAGAGGATCCAGTCCCCGAAGACGACGACGGGATCGCTGTCAAGCCCGCCGGCGGAATCCACGGGCCAGCTTCAACTCTACCGCCGGTAAATATGTTGCTCGAGAAGGTCATGAAGTTCTCTGCCCTTCTCGCGGCGAAAATCTGACCGACGGGTCTCTCCGCCGGCTGATCGTACGGAGCACTAGGTGGTGGTGGTGGTGCCATAGAGACGGAGCCCTGAGGAGGGGGATGAGTCTCCGGAGTGGAGGAGACGCCGGAGTAGAGAAGACCGGAGCTAAAACTCTGGTGGTGAAGCCAAGACGCCATTTCGTCTTCGTGGATAAAGAGATTCTGATAATACGGTGGCTGCTGGTGAGGCGGAGGCGGAGCATTTCCTTCTCCGCTTCCGCGGCTGCCGCTGCCACGGAGAATGGTAGGAGGAGGAGGAGAGGGTTTATCGGAGGTGGGACTCTGTGTCTGGCTGCTATGAACGACTTGGCCGCTCTTCCATAAGAGCTCGACGATATCATCTTCACCCCTAATTTCAAACAAAACACCAAAAGACTAACGTCAGATTCATATCACAGAAATCCAAACCTGAGAAGAGAAATAACAACTTACATGGTTGGTTGTGTCTTGTGTGATGATGATGATGAGATTCAATTTCAAGGAGGAAAAAAGGGAAGAATCAGGAATGATATAGTAGGAATCATTGTCGGGAACAGAGATTAATTCATATATCTTTGAGAGACAAACAAGAAACAAAGAGAAGCCCAGAAACTCATATTGGAAATTTGTGAAACTGATAACTTGTTTCTTTCCTTCAAATGTTTAAATAAACAAAGCAAAAAACCAAAACACGTTTCTCTCTTTTTTTTTCCACACAAAGCTCCAAGAAACCACCCAGAGAAGAGAAAAAACTGGAATCTTATTTTGTATTAGTTTATTTTGGCAACAATGTCCAAAATTTATCTTTTCTCAGGTAGTCTGATTCTATTTGAATTTTAGGCTTTAGAGTGAATAGTCTCAGAGCAGTGAACAGATAAACTCTCTATATCTCTGTCCCCTTGGAAGTGAGTGTCCTGTACTATGGCGGTTTAGGTAACATGAATGACGTCAAAAATATTTTAAAAAATCTTCAGAGAAGTGGAGCCGTTTTTTATAGCTGTTTTTTGGCGAGTAGTAGTAGTGAGTCAGTTTCTTATTACTCTTCTACAAAATCTTTTCCGCAGGTTGTCCGAATCTCTTCTAATTTTGTACTTTAAGAAGGAATAGTTTCAGAGAGCAGAGAGGATAAGCTCTCTATCTCTCTCTCTCCACCTGGAAGTGAGTGAATGTCTATGTGCGTGCTAGCTATTGACAATGTTCTCAGTGACATCATCACTCTTCACGTAGATTCTATTTGTCTCTATTCATCGCTTGGCCTTGGCCCCATCATTCTCCACTTTGCTCTATTTGGTCGCTCCACATGAACATAGTAAGTTAGTAACACACACACATAGTGCTGTTTAATTAGTATTCCTAGTCGTAGTCGAATAAAAGATATCATTCTCTCTCTATAATTAGATAGATATTGGCATTTTTGGTTCAGATATTCCATCAGAACAACAACAGACGTGTGATCTTGGGTTTTGTAGCTGCATCTCCAGTAATCTCTGTGGCGAGACCGATAAATGTAAAGGAAGAAAAGTTTGTTGTAGAGACGACACGGCTCGAGGCTATAGGCAGCCCCGGCTCTAGGGGACGGCGAGGTTCTTTATGTTACAGAAACAGAACAAAAGTGACCTACTTTTAACATTAAACAGACCCAAATGTTACATGTTGGCGCTCCGGTGATCTTCAAAATTGTGATATTCTTGGAGAAGTGATCTCTAGAGCCAGTTCCTGATTTTCTTACTGATCTCTTGGTTGGTTCTCCCGTTCCTTGCTACTACTTGCCCTGCCGAAACTCAGCTGTGATGTTGTTTGACTCTGAAAAAAAAAAAAATAATGTGAGCATTACTATGGTAGGAATTAATAAGCACAATGGACAGTGTGAAATAACTACCTGTACTTGAGGTGGAGGTTGCATCTGGTGGAGACCAACAACCTGGCTATAAGGATCCATGTAAACCGGAAACTGAGGCTGGTTCGACATCGGTTCAGGCTGCTGACTTGGTACTCTGGATGGAAAAGGGTAGCGCCATGCGGGATATGATGGAACTAGACCTGGACCGACCAGATGAGCGTGGCTAGGGAAAGGTGTACCGGGGAAAGGTATGAAAGGAGGAGGCTGGTTCATCCCCATGGCCATTTGAACCATCAACTGTTGCTGCATATCCGGTGTTGTATACACCGTCGGCATCATACCATATCCCGTCGACATGATCTGCACAATCGATTTTCAGGTATTAAAATCTTGTAACAGAGAGATTAGTGTTTGTGAGGACACACTACCTGTATTTGCATCTGTAGCGATTTCACGTAGTCGATAACATCATCCAGCATCGACGCTTTATCAGACTGATCAAGAATAGAGGCAGAGAGGAAGAGGAAATTTTCAAGCACAATCAACGTTAGAATGCAAACATACTGAAACTGTGACGACAGACCTTGTTGCAGCGAGGGATGAGTTCTTTCAGAGCCTTCATCTTCTCGTTGATCTTCTCTCGCCGCTTCTGCTACACAAAAAAGAATGCAACTTTTTTAACGGAGATGAAATCAAAAGAGAGAGAGAGAGTCCATTGTTGAAAAACACAGAAGAGAATTATTCAAGAACCCTTTCAGAGATATTGTGCATTTCTGCAGCTCGTGACCTCTTCCTAGATGTTGAATCACGACGAGCTTCTTCCGTTCCCTGTTAAGCACGCCAAGACCAAAAAAAAAGTTAGTTAAAAAAATAAGCCGCGAATGCTATAATGCGCCGAAGTGGATGCGCAGGATAACCAAATATTTAACTGACCTCGATTTCGTCTCTCTTGTTTCGCTTCCTGTCATCGGCAATCTCCGCCTCCGTCGCGGTTTGTGTCGGAATCGGCTCTGTTTCGTCCCTTGAGACCCCCGAAGATGATGTTCCGGCGATCTCACAAACCGTCTCGATAGCCACCGCCTTTTCCCTCCGACCAAGACCGGGGACCGCAAAATTGTGCGAGACTCCGCCGGTGACCGTCCTCCGGCTCTCGGTGCCCTCTGTGGCCGGTGTCGCGCTCGACCCTACCTGAGTTGATTCTCTCGCCACCGGAATCAACGGTCCAGTGAATATGTTCCCTCTTACCCTCGAGAAGTTCATAAAGTTCTCCGTCCTTCTCGGAGGACCGGTGGGTCTCTCCGACGGCGGATCGTACGGAGCACTAGGTGGTGGTGGTGGTGGCGGGGGTGGCAGAGAGACGGAACCGTGCGGGTGATAAGTATCCGGAGAGTAGAGAAGACCGGAGCTGAAACTCTGATGGTGAAGCCAAGACGCCATTTCGTCTTCGTGGATGAAGAGATTCTGGTGAAGCAGGGGAGGCAAAGACTGCGGGAGCGGAAGCGGAGCATTTTCTTCTCCGCCGCTTCCACTGCCACGGAGGACGGGAGGAGGAGAGGGTTTATCGGAGGGTGGTCTCTGTGTTTGGCTGCTATGAACGACTTGGCCGCTCTTCCATAAGAGCTCGACGATATCATCTTCACCCCTAAATTTCAAACAAACACTAAAGCCTAACGACAAATTTTGCAGAAATCCAAAGCTGAGAAGAGAAAAAAGGAACTTACATGGTTGGTTGTGTTGTGAGTGTGTGAAGTGTGATGATGAGATTGAATTCAAGGAGGAAAAAGAAGAAGAATCAGGAATGATAATATAGTAGGAATCATTGTCGGGAACAGAGATTAACTCATATCTTGAAGAGTCGACAAAAAGAAACAAAGAGAAGCCCAGAAACTCATATTGGAAATTTGTGAAGTTGATAACTACTTGTTCTCTTCCTTCAAATGTTTAAATAAACATTAAGGAAAAAAAACAAAACTGATTAGTGTTTTTGGCATAGAGTGTTGTGAGTCAATTTCTTATTTTCCCTGTCCAAAATTTATTTCTTATTTCCTCAGGTAGTCTGATTCTATTTGAATTTTAGGCTTTAGAGTGAATAGTCTCAGAGCAGTGAAGATAAACTCTCTATATATCTCTCTCCCCTTGGAAGTGAGTGTTCTGTGCTATGGCGGTTTAGGTAACATCAATGACTTCAAAAGAAAAAAACTTTGAGAGACTGGATCTATTTTTATAGCTGTTTTTTTTTTTTTTTTGGTAATTTATAGCTGTTTTTTGGCATGTAGTAGTAGTGGGTCAATTTTTTAAATTTCCTTGTCCAAAATTTAGAATGAATAGTTTCAGAGAGAGCAGATGGGATAAGCTTACTATCTCTCTCCACCTGGAAGTGAGTGAATGTCTCTGTGCGTGCTATGACGTTTTTGGTGTTCTCAGTGACATCACTCTTCCCGTATATTCTATTTGTCTCTATTCATCTCTTGGCCCCTTCATTCTCCTCCACTTTGCTCTATTTGGTGCCTCCACATGAACGTAGTAACACACACATAGGGCCAGGGAAACAAGCAAGCTATTTTTGAATAATTTAATATTCACATTTGTATACAAAACGTTATTTATTTATTATTATACACTTTTCGAGGTTTATTTTGGACCTTGGGTTCTCGGCCACATAGTGTAACCAAAACAAGGCCGAAACCCAAAATTTGGCCTAGCCTGATCGTGAATAAACAGAGCTGGGTCTTGATATCTTTTGTAGAGGTGATTTTAGGAATTATCCCGAGGAGCAGACTCGGATCGGTCCTAAAATATCGCAAAATAAATAAATAAATAAATACTCTTGAGAGTATTCACCATTGTGGGAAGAAGAATAAGCACGATGTAAGAACCTGCGATGGAGGAGGTTGTTGCATCTGGTGGAGAGGCTGGTTCGAAAGCGGGTCATGAGGCTGCTGCTGACTAGGTAACTGGACGGCTCTGGATGGCTCAGAGGCTTGAACGTTTGGAAAAGGGTAACGCGGTGCCATAGGAAATGGCATGCCAGGGTAAGGTATGAATGGAGGCCGAATCATCCCCATGGCCATGTGAGGCATGAAACGTTGCATATCCGCCGGATACATCATCGGCATCATACCGCCACCCATTGGCATCATCTGTATAACAACAACATTGATTCTTCATGAAGTAAAAGATTCATCTTCATAATGCTGTAAACGTGAGAAGCAAGAAACAGACTAGTAAGACTTCAAGACATTCATGCAGACCTGTATTTGCATCTGTAGCGATTTCACGTAGTCGATAGCATCATCCAGCATGGAAGCTTTAGTAGACTGGTCAAGATTAGAGGAAGAGGGAATTTCAGATTCACAATCATGCCTTAACTTGAATAACAAGCTACAGGAGACATGTGTGTGGAGTGAAAGACCTTGTTGCAGCGTGGGATGAGTTCTTGCAGAGCTTTCATCTTCTCGTTGATCTTTTCTCTCCGTTTCTGTTTCAAGATTTTAAGAATGCGACGTGAGATGAAACAGAGAGAGAGAGAGAGAGAGTCCATTGTTGAAAATGAAAACAACATAAAAGAATTATTCAAGAAACCCTTTCGGAGATATTATGCATTTCTGCAGCTCTTGACCTCTTCCTCGATGTTGATCCACGAGCTTCTCCAGTTTCCTATGCTCCCACACAAGAAACAAAAAATAAAAATAAGCCTCGAGTGACTATCACGCGCCAGAATGGGAGAACTCTGACGACTGACCTGGATTCTGTGACTGTGAGTGGTTTCTTCTCTCTCTTTTGGCTTCCTCTCATTGGCTATCTCCGTCTCCGTTGCCGTCGCTGGTTGTATCTGAACCCCAAATGATGATGTTCCGGCGATCTCGAAAACCGTCTCAGTCGCTGGCTCCTTTTCCTTCCGGCCAAGACCGGGAAATGCGAAAGTGTGCGAGACTCCACCAACAACTGTCGCTGGTGTTACAGTGGAATCAGTCGCCGAAGAGGATGGGGTCGAGCTCGATCCGTGCGTGGATTGTCTCACCACCGGAATCCACGGTCCAGCCTCAGCTCCACCGCCGGTAAATATGTTATCTCTTAGCCTCGGGAGGTTCATAAAACTCAGAACGGTGGGTCTATCCGGAGGATCGTACGGATCCGTACTAAGTAGTAGTGGTGGTGGTGGTGGTGCCAAAGAGAAAGAACTCTGTGGTTGAGTAAATGGATTAGAGACGAGGCCGGAATAGAGAAGATCGGAAAAGAAGTGAGGATGGTGAAGCCAAGACGCCATTTCGTCTTCCTGGATGAAGAGATTCTGATGAGACGGTGGCGGCGCATTTCCTTCTCCACCGCCGCTTCCGCTGCCGCGGAGAATGGGAGGAGGAGTCGAGGGTCTGTCGGAGGTGGGTGTCTGTGTCTGGCTGCGGGGAACGTTTTGGCTTTTATCCCCAAAGAGCTCTACGATATCATCCTCAGCCATAATTTCCAACAAAAAAACAGTTTTTAATCAAGTTGCAGAAAAAACAAATAAAAATGCAACTTACATGATATAATTTCTTAGGCAGATTCAAGGAGGAGGAGGAGGAAGTGGAAGAAAAAGGAGAAGAACTTGAATCATTGTCGGTTTCGAAGTGTGGAACAAAATTGATTCATATCTTGAGAGACCAAAAGAAACAAAATTTATAAGTGAAACCAATAAACACATAATGAAAAATTGTGATCTGTGTACCCCTTTTTATATGTGAGTTGTTAAAACTTCATGAGAGACGAAAAGAGGAAATAAATATAAAAACATATTTGTCGTCGTCGGGATTACCGAGAAGGCATTGAGAAACCTCTCAAATAGCAGAAAAAAAAAAATCTCATGCAAGTAAAATGTTGTTTTGGCCTATAGTGTGTTTGGTCAGATTCATTGAATCTTGTTTCTTTCTTTTGTCTGATTCTCTCTCCCCCGCGGAAGGGAGTGACCCTGTGCGTGCCATGACGTTTTGTGTGTTCCCAATGATGTCATCATGTCTACGTAGGGCCTTTTATCTTTAGCCATTCTTTTTCTCATCTTTGGTCTCTTTGATGGGTACATATGCGAACAAGCAAGCTAGTACTAGTTTTTATTTTTTTAAAACTGTTTGAGAAACAAAACCATCCAAGAGAAATGACAGAATATGGAGGAATCTAGAGTATATTGTTTTTTTTTTATAAAGGGAATCTGGAGTAATATTCTGTCAAGAATAGTGAGAATCATCAACCTAAACAATGGTTTCTTCGATCGTAAGCCATTCTTGCTAAAATATACTCCCTCCGTTTTTTTTTTAATGAATTTTCTAGCCATTATGTGTTGTTTCACAAAGATAAAATTTTTACCTTTTTGATGCACTTTTTCAGTTTTCAAGATACAATGATTATATTTGTTGGATTTTTATTGGTTTAAAATTATAAAAAATTGTTTTATTGCAGAAATCTATGCAAAAATCAACTTTTTCTTAATCTGTGTGAAAAAACTAGAAAATTTATCTTTAAAAAATGGAGGGAGTATCAATAAACATTTAGATATATTGGCTCTGCAGCGTCTTCTCGAGTTCTTTTTTGTTTGTATTTGCTAAGACTATCAATGTAACATTTAGATACAAAAAAGCTTGACGCATAAATTAAACTATCCTGCTAGTTAATTAATTTCCAAAAATACCAAAACATTTTATTTTTTTCCAAAAATATAATAAAACTAAAACTGAAGCTTAAACCCTCAAAACTAGATCTAAATCCTCAAAATTAAACCATAAACCCTCAAAACTAAATCCTAAACTCAAAATACTAAACTAGAACCCATTTTTTCTAAAAGTAAAAATCCTTAAAAATCATGTTTAGTGTTTTTGGTATTTTTGGGAAAAAAAGAATTTGTTGGTAGTTTTTGAAAATAATTCATTGTGTGTTTAATTAGGTCATTAAAAACATTTTGTTGGTAGTTTTGTAAAATAAAACTAGTAATGTTACCTTTGGAATTAGCAAACAGCGCCATTCAGTACATAATAAAGTTGACATGTACACTAAGTGTGTTTATTTAGGTGACATTTGGTCACCGTTGAACCAAATATTAACGCAAAGAATTGGATGATGGTCTCCTGATTAGTCGTGGTTGCGCCAACATTCATAGATTGTGATCCCAACGGTTTCTCCAAAAGCCACACTGCAATTTGCCTTGAGGAAGGAAAAATAAAGAAAAAAACCAACTATCATGGTTGTTTTAGCTGTCGAAAGGTTCATTAAAAAAATATCTACGAAAAGCCAAAAAACACATAGGGCGAACTGTGCCCTTTTATAAGAAAATATAAAATTGTAAGTTGTTTTAACTTCATTAGAAAGGAAGAGGGAAAAACAAACATGTGTCGTCACTGTTTTTATCTTGTTTACACAGAAAGCTCCAAGAGCAGAAAAAAACATGCAGAAACTGCACTTTTATAATGGTAGGGGTCAGATTCGTTTCATTTCGTTTCTTTCCTCTTAAGGATTTTCATTATCTTTTCTCTGTTTGTCTGCTTCTCTCCGAATTTTGAGCTCTCTATATATCTCTTTCCCCCTGAAGTGATGAATATCTCTGTACTGTGTATTCAAGAAGCGGTCATGAGTCTTAAAAGATAGCAAGCTGACAAAAATTTAAAAAGGACCGCTTCGGTGTTTTGTTAAGAAACATCAACAGAAAGAAAAAAATAAGTTTATAAAGTTTTTTGGTATGAAGTGAACCCATGATATATAAGGACATATTTGGGTAATTGAGGACCCTAGTGTCTCTGTGCATGTTATCACACTCCATGTTGGCTCTTTTGTTTCTATTCATCAATTTTTTCTTCCACTTTGTCTCATTGATGGCACCACATGGAAGTAAACAACATCCAAAGAAAATGTATAAAGTATAATGATATGTTTTATATCAACCTAAGTAACAAGAACTTCTTCATATGCCAATCTTTTTCTGCATTATCAATTAACATTTAGATACGGTTCGACAAGCGACTCTCCGATTTCATCTTGGGATACTTAATATACCACCTAGCCAAAAAAAAAAGGTTCAAAAGCCTTCAAGATAGCCCTTTAAACAAAAAAAACAAAAGAAAAAAAAACAAAAAACAACACATGCTGCATCATGAATAGCATTCTAAAGGCGATACAGAAAAATGTCAAAATCAAATAAAAAGATACTGAAAGTACACTTGCATATTGGAAATGACATTCTGTGTCACGTATATATTTTGAAAACAGATATTGGCTTTCTTGATTATATTCTAGAGTCTAAAGCCATGATAGTGCTAAGGTTCATGGGGTTCATGTACTCAACCGAACCAGTCATGATCTGTTGGACGATGAGTCGGGTGGCTTTCTCGGTCGGGTGGAAAGGGTCCCAAAAAGCATAGGCGTTTCGGTCAGGACATAGGCTCGACAACGGTGTGCAAACGCCTTGCCCATTGTATGCTCCTTGTCCGCAACACGCTACCTTTGATGTCACGAAACCTACCATAATTTTTTTAATCAAATTAGCCATGACACATCTATACTATATACAGTGTAGAATGGTGGATAAAATCATAAAATTATGTGATTAGTGATAATATTGCGATATCGCATAACCTTTAAATATGTTGTCCTACTATTCCGCAGATTAATTACTAATTTTAAAACTATTGAAGGAGTGTATATATACTCACCAAATCTTTGGGGATTGTTGATAAAATCTGCATTCATGTTAAAGGCATTAGCCCCAATGAAAACATCAGAACCAATCTCACGGTTAAGTCCTTGAAGCATTTCATTCAAAAGCGGATTGAAGATCGCTGCAGCCTTTTGCGCCTCCGGTGCACATTCTCCATTCACGCTCCCCGATGAGGCCAGTTGGGACGGTACGCAACCTAATGGTCCTGTTCCTGTCACCATCACCCTCCTTGCACCCAACTCGTACAGCCTCTGTATTACCAAACAGAGTAAAACAAACACATAGTGAGCTTATGTGCGATAGTGAACCAGTGAAGCCCTAAACCTAGCGTGTAACCCAAGGAAAGATATAATACCGCGAGGATCTTCTTGTACTCGGAGATGAGAAGCTGGCTGAATTCGCCGAGAGAAGATTGTCGGCCTCTAGAAGAGAAAGGCAAGAAGTAGTTGTTGACGAAATCGTTGCCGCCGAGAGTCATGAGGACAAGAGCTCCGTTTACGAGCTGTTGTGTTTTGTCTGAACCCATGATCTCATCCACTCTCTTTTGATACTCTTGGAACAGCTCGAATTGCCTACCGATCCTTAGTATGTTCAACTGCATTATGCATTAGATTTGGGTCCAGACTTCCATAATTAAAATGAAAATTGAACTTAAGTTTTCATTTTAAATTGACAAGGACTTGAGTCAGAATCTTTTTTCTGATTAAATGAGTCTTAAGATTCAGAAAATGTCAGCTGGTAGAAGATATGATTTACTTAAATCAATTTTTCAGTTAAAAACTGAAAGTGAACTAACTTCTTTTTTCCTTTTGTAGTTCCTATATTGGCATTTCTTATTCCTTATTATTGTATCTTTAAAAATGTTATTTTTTTTCCAGTAAAATTAGCCAGACAGAGTCTCTTTTTTGGCGCGAACTTTATTGGTTAGTAGAAACGAAATTAAGAAACGATTTCGATATAGGAAACGTTTGTTAGATGACTTACAAATTGAATGCCGGTGTCGTTGAGAATTCCAATGCCGGCAGAGGCAAAATTAGCTCCGATCAGTAGCTTCTCTCCGGTGAGCTCAGGGCTAAGGATTGGTAACGTAGGCTCTGATCCAATATGTTCACCTAAAACCCCCAAAGCAAAATCAGCTCTAAAAGATTAATTAAAGAGAACAAAATAACTAAATGATTTGGAAACGACGCCGTACTGATGATGTCAGGAAGGTTCAAGCCGTTGGAGAAACGACCAGTTGGACGACCGGTAGGATAATCGATACCGTACGGCGGAGAATCGGCACGAGCGGTGGTGACTAAGTAATTGTTATTACCACTGTCCACGAGTGAGTCGCCGAAAACGTAGAACGCTCTAGCCGCATTCGTTTCTTGCGGCATTACAAATAGCGTTACGCTAAACGCGGTAAACAGAAATATTGATGTCGAGAGAACGGTTGACATGTTGATGTAAAGCGAAAGCAGAAGAAGATTAGAGTACTCTCACTTTCTGTGTGGCAAGTCTCTTCGTTTATTATATACAACGGGAAATTGTATTAATATGGTTTACTTTTTTTGGTGTATGTAATAAATGTTACATGTTGTTGTCGGTCGATCAACGAGAAAAAAATGCTGTTCTAACTAAGAGAGAAGAATAATATGAAGTACAATCGGTTAGAGAAGTTTTACTATTGATATAACCTGAAGTCAAATCAAACCAAGAACATAGATTGGTCCAAAATAATGAATAACTAGCTGGCATCAAAACTATCCAGCCACATTTGTATATTAATTATATAGTGTGTATACAGAAATGCTATGCATTGACATTATCCATACACATTTTTTATTTCTCATAAAAGTTAAAACGATATCTTACCATTTTATATGATTAAGCCTATTAAACAAGCATGCATGTGATGATCAGGGTTTTGCTTGTTTCAACACAGAGAAACACAAGTTCTTTGCAATGGGATCGTAAAAGAATCCAATCTCATCTCCAACAGCAATCTCCTTCATTCTCCATATTTTTCCAATAGGAGTAGTATTTATCAGATTTATCGTAATAGCCGAAGATAACCTCGTACTGGCTCCCGTTATCGTAATCGTCGACCTTGATTACTATAGGGTCTTTTTTAATTATTTTAACTGACGACTCGCCCATACTTTTCAAAATATATTTCTCAATATCGTTGTTATTATCGAATTCCAACCAACCCTCGCTTTTCTCTTTTAAGATCATCCTTATCTTCCACAGAGATGTTTTGTTTTCTTCACATATGTCTTTTAAAGTATACGAACGCGATGATGATGACCTTTCCATTTTCTTTTTCTTCTTGTCTTGTCTTGTGTTTATAATTTTCGATTGTGTTGCTCTTCTGGATGTACACACATATATAAGAGAATTTCTAGATTAGGTGTGCAAACTCATTAATTTTTATTTATTCAGAAAAGTATTCCGGATTTAATTGTAATCCAGCATGCATTCTGGAATTAATAATGCATTACTCTTGAATTGTTTTTTTTTTTTAAAATAAGACTTTTAGCACAAATACAGAAGAAGAAAAATATTACGCTATAGCCCTTACAAAATAGGTCAATTTTTATATTTCTATCATATATTCCACTTTTTAATTACTTTTAGTTATGGGCTAACTACATATTTCATAGAACAACTTTCTCATTTTAGTAGAGTACATGATTTTCCAAAATTTAGTATGATCCACTGATACTTAATACAAATAGCTCTATAGGTTTTCTCCGTTCATGTCACACTCAAATTTATTTTAGATAAACGAATGCATATGCATGTTTGTGCGAACCATAGAAACCGATATTACCGTATTTCTGTAAATGATTAACATATCTCTATTTAGAAACATTTAAAAGAAAACTTGAACTCTATTTTCGATTTCAATATCTAATTCATGCATACGGGTTAAATACTAGGACCACACGTATAGTAATAACCGAATCACGCATTTGGTTTGGAACAATTCAAAACGTAACAAAGGGGAAAAGAAGAAACCACAACAACAACAACAGTACATGACAAAATGACATATATCTGAATATGGTTTATGGCAAAAACATGTTATCGAGATCGAAAAATGCAAAGGCGGTCCAAATTGAATGCCATTTAGAGAGAAAGAGGAATAACTAAAAAGGTTGTAGGTTGGTCATAATAAGTGGTTGCCTATTATTTTCGGTCATCTATATTCACATGCATAACTTAACTCCTGTCTTCATTATCATCACCATTATCATCCCAATGCCATCATTATAAGCTGTTCCTTTCGTATCACTTGAAGGGTCCTCTTACCATTAACACTAACCCCCTTGGTCCCCATGTGGTTTGACCTTTTGGACTTCTCAAGAGAGGGAAGTCTCTTCATAATGAACTTAATAATGGGCCAAGTTACTATAGCCCATTTAGTTTGCTCAGCCTCATTAACTACAATTGTAGCTCTGTTTTGCTTTGCTTCACGCCTTCACCTACTATTCCGATGCATATCAAATTTTGGTATATAAACAATTACTCCAATAATCAAATTCCGACAATAATGATAATTAAATTTTTATGACAAACAAACATCACGACCATTATCATAGCTTCAGAATCTGTCTTTATCCGTCAAAACAGCTTTTAAAAAAAACAATTTTGCCAGATATCATCATCATCATTATTCCCTTAATAGTCTCTCTTCGAGATCGTTGATCAAACAATTTATTCTGATTTTTTCAGAGCATCAATTCTCCGATCGTGTGTTAGAAAAAATGGGACGCAATTGCTGCCATGTCTCGTTCGCTTCCGTGCTCAAGATCCTCAATTTCATTCAAGCTTTCATCGGCGTGTCGATCATAATCTACTCGATTTGGATGCTCGATCAATACAACCGTCACGTACCCGTCGATCCTCCTCCGTCGCAACCTCCGGCGGCTTCGTCGCCGGATTCTTATTCCTTCTCTAGCTCGGGAATTGAGATCACCGGTGGTGTTTCTGATTCCTTGAGGAATCCAATCAATCTCGTGTCGGGTCTCGTTGTCGGGTCTGGCGGCGATTCGGGTTTCAGCCTCCGCTCCTTAGATCTTCCTGCTCCATGGTACTAAAAGTTTCCATTTTTAGGGTTCTCGATTCAATCTCTAATCTTGTTAATACTTAATTCGACTAGCTTAGTTTGTGATTAGTCGATTTTGATTTCGATTTGACTCTGATCTTCACATCCATTATAGTAGAGATGAAAAAGGGCAAAGCTTTAAATGCTAGACGATGATTTTTGATGGTTGAGAGAATGTTCAAATGAAATTCAATGCAGGTTCATCTACTGTTTCATGGCGATTGGGATTTTGGTTTGCATTGTCACTTTCATCGGTTTCATAGCAGCTGAAGCTATCAGTGGCTGCTGCTTGTGTTTCGTATCCTTTTTACATACTAACTGGCCTTTAACTTATTTGCTTCTGTGAAATTTTATTTTTGTGTTGGGTTGTTTGATCCTTGATAAGTCTTCTTAGTATTCCATTCTCAAAACTCTTGTAATCATACTTGAAGCAGCTCTCGTGGGATACATAGCTATTGACCGTCATTGGGAAAAAGTGAGTGTGTTGTTTCTTACATTATGGAGCTTGTATCTTGTGTGTTGTGTTTAACAGTCTACAATATTCTGACTTTAGGATCTTCCGTATGATCCAACTGGAGAACTCACTAACCTTCGAGCTTTCATCGAAGCAAACATCGATATCTGCAAATGGGTCGGCATTGTTGTGGTTGCGGTTCAGGTAAAAAATATCTCACTTCTTGCCCTTTTCTACATTTGAGCTGTTTTGTGTTTGCTCACGAGCTGGTGTTTTCACAGCTACTGTCATTGCTACTGGCGTTGGTTCTGAGAGCTATGGTTTCGCCACGTCAGTCAGAGCTTGACGAGGAAGATGATTTCGAGAGCAGAGCTCGGGAGAATCTTCTTGGTCCGCAGGCAAACCAGACATCTTCTGCATCAAGCAATATTGACAACTGGAGGTCCCGAATCAGAGAGAAGGTAAAAAAGCTTGTGATTTGATTTAAGCTTGTGATTGATTTGGCTTTATACTTAGTTCTTTTTTTTTCTCTGTCTCCATATTCTTCTACAGTATGGATTGGTCAACGGACAGAGCCAGAATCCATCAGTTTGAGTCAAAAGACTTGAGTTCTTGTGTTCGGAATCGTTACTTTGGTTTAGTTCCTCCTCTCTCTCAATTTTTTCAGTCGTTGTAACTTTCAGAGTGTGCATAGACATTACACAGCTATGTATCATCGTTTGATGCTTTTTTCTCTCTTCCATACTCTGTTCACATCGTAATGTAGCTTTCGTTTTGGAGTGTTTGTACAAAACCGTAAAGAGAGTTGTGTGTGAAAATGGGAACATCTGATTATTGCTCTGCTACATAACATTTGGGATTCTCTCTCAATCGTTACCAACAAAAATCGAGACAAAAATTACACTATCTTACAGTTTTATTCAATGTGATTACTATGCTGTTGTTCTTATTTCATCGTGTAAGATCGATAATGGCTTCCTCTACGAGCTCTTGCAACAATCTGCTTTCAATTTCAATCCCAAAGTCATCTACTTCGACTTGCAAGCTACGAGTCCATGTCCTCCCCACAATCTCTTCCTTCACTAGACTCTCTGCAGCAAAACTATTCGCGTCCATCTCCTCTACTGAGTCACACTTGCTAGGCTCATCTGAGAGCCATTCCTTTAGCTGAGACCAAACATGCTCCACCAGGTCGAAACGTGGAGAGTCATCATTGCCCGTGCTAGTTGTTTCCGAAACGATGGAGTCGATTCGGTCGAAAATGAGCTTACGTGTTGATCTTTGTTGTCTGCGTTTGCCTTCTTGGATAAACTCCTTGACGTTGTTGTTGATGTCTAGATTGGTGTATTTGTCTCTGAGTGAAGGGTCTAAAGGACTGTTTGGCAAGCTCCACCGTGACATTAGAGAGACGGTGCAGCCTCTGCTGAAACCAGCAGCTGTCAAGAGCGTTTCTATGAAGAAGTACCAATCTTCATCTTCATGGACTCCCACTTCTGGTTTAGATATGTTGTCTGTGCAAGAGTTATCATCATCCTCCCATGAGAGGATCCGAGCGATTGAGCCTATTGGTGGTGATTTGTCTATAAGGTTAGATTTAAGAGACGTTTCCTCTCCTGTTGAGAATGGAGAGCATTTGGATTAGTGTCAGTGAACAAAACTATATGAAAAAAAAGCTAAGCAATCAGAGAACTAACCTTGAGTCGTCGTCCATGGCTTGGATGAGCCAGAACATTCTGGAGTGGCGACACCTTCCTCTTCGAATGGCGGAAACAAAACCGAAATGGGACTCGGCTGGTCCTGGTTTTCACCTGTATTCCCAGCCGCTAGGGGCTTTGGTGTAGTCAGCTCCTCCTGCAAAACGAATCAAAAACGGCTTCTGATTAAAGCATTGAATGTTTCAGAATCATGAATGGCTCCTTGAGTACGTTGAAAAAAAGGTGTTAGAGAATTGGTGGGATGGATACCTCTTCAGAGACTATACTTTGCAGTTGTGATGCATCAGGAGGGACACAATCTTCCCCGGGAGGAGTCACAGAAGAAGAAGGCGTTGCTGTTTGAGATATACTGCTTTGCTGAGATGGATCTCTTTTCTCCTTGCTTGCTTTCTTGTTCTTGAAGAAGAACAAGTTTGAGACTTTCCATGGCGATTTCAAGCTTCCTGTCTCAGTCAGCTCTCGTGGAGCCTGTGCATTGGAAGTCCCTGAAGCAGATGGTTCTCCGTTGAGCCTAACAACAGGGACTGATTTTGACCTTGCAAGGATATTCAGAGAATCATTTGCCATTTCCACTTGACTCACATCACTGGTTATGCATGACGTCGACGCTCTTGTCTCTAATGCTACTTCGTTGCTCTCTTCGTAAGGTTCAGTTGTCACTTTAGTCTCTGAGAGTGCAAGCATTTCCCCTAAGGTGCTTGAGGTTCTTAGTACATGTTTATGCTGCGGCTGAGTGCTTCCGGTTACTGACATCAACGCCCATCTTTCAGAGAGACGCTTTTTCGCCTCTCTGCAGACAGATGACTCTGGAGAAAACGAAGCTCGGCTGAAAGAGGAAGGAGAGAAAGGACTTTCAAACCTGTTTGGACAGTCCCACGAATGCCTAGAAGGTGGTGACATGATCTCACAATCGCTAAGGTTTCCCACTGGATCTTCGTTATCAGACTTGTTAAACGAACTGTCATCTCCGTTATAACCATTGGAGAGCACAGAAGAACACTGAGTCTCATTCCTGTGGTGACCCATCAGATTTTCACGCACTTGGCGAGTAATTTCTTTGGCTACTTCTTTAGTCTCAACGTCTCCAAGCTCATCAAAATATGCTCCACTATGTAAACCCCTCGGTGAGGATGGAGATGATGAAACAGCTTTTATGTCAAGAGACTTCCCTAGACTAGGCTTCAAGACTACAATTCTAGTTGGATGTACAGGATGTTCCTCGCTTCGGTTGACATAAGATGACGAGTAACCATTTCTCCATCCACTTTCTTGACTTGATGAAGCCAATTTCTTGACCTGCTTGTTCTTCCTCCCTTGAACTACATATTTCTCAGTTTCAACAGCCTTTGAAGGTCTCAGTACCGTGATGCGCTTCGCCTCTGAGTGAGGAGGAGCATGCTGCAAGTCGGAGAGATGCTGAGAGAATGAGTTTGATTCCTGGAGAAACTTAACAAACAAGTCCTTGTTGGAGCTTAAGAACTCAAGTGCATCTTGGAACTCTTTGGACTGGTGAAGGTTTTCATCCGTTACAAGGCGTTTTGCTTCCGCAAACTTCTGACGAACAAGTTTCTCAGTCGTGCTCTCATCATATCTTCCTCTTCTAGGAGAGCTATCCCTTGAACGACTCACCTTCTGAGGAGACTGCCACATTTCATACACATCTTTGAATTCTCTGCTGAGCTCTTCATACTTTTGGACCTCGTTATCCACTGCTTGATTCGGTGAAGAGTGTGAATAGCTTCTGGATTTGCTTCGCTGCTGTGGAGGAGTCTCAAGCTGCAGCTGAGGAAATGTTTCCAAACCCATCAACTTAGCAACCACGTTAGTTGGGCTCTGTTTAGGTTCGACTTCTTTTGACATCTCTCGAGCAATGAGTTTCTTCATCGGTGTGCCACTTACTTTGCTAGAAGCACTTCTCCTTAGATCAGGCATTACCTGTGCACACAATGCCAGGCAAGAGATATCAGATGCCGTGACCATAATAACAAACATCAAGCGGTGCAAATAAGGACACTTACCAACTCAGATTCTAAACGGCTTTTATGAGAGGGGCTTGGCGTTCGAGTCACATCAGATCGGCTCCTTGACAGAGAGGATCCTGCTAACAAACTACCTCGTGTCAATAACACACCGGTAAAGTCTCCTTTATTTAGTGAACAAAGCAGTCACAGAAGGATATAGTAATTACCATCACGGTGTGGTTTATCGGTAAGCAACTTGTTCCCATTAACAGCTGTTCCTAGATCAAATAGGTTCACCATCCTTCCCAAGCATCCTGGAACCGGAGTTTCGATCTTTTGAACCTTTCTGCCTCGGAGTTCATTCATTTTGGTCCCTGCAGTTTCACAGCTATTAGTTATATTATCTTGGAAGCAGATTATGAAGAAAATTGGCATGACAGACTATAATGGTTCTTGGAGGAGAAAATGCAAGATTGACTTCAGTTTAGGTGACAAGAAACTAACAAGCAAAGATTCCCAATGAAGAAACTTTCCATCTCTGAATGCTTTAAAATGAAATAGAATGTTGGAACAATCATTTAGGAGTTGTAGAGAGAGACGGAGACGAAAGATGCAAAACTTTATACTAAAGATCCAGGAAAAGTGAGAAAGGTATAGAAGAACAGAGAATATCTAGTTAGCAAAGAAGAGAACAATCCAAGCATAACCAAACAAGAATTCGGTAAGCAAAAAGAGAAAAGAAAAGGAGAATAAGATTCTGGTATCACAGGGACACTTCATAGTGTCTTGACAAAAGGAAAGAAGAACCAATTGCCATTTTTCACATGACCTATCACAATCAAAAGACAGACACTTTTTGTACTCTTAACAATCTCTTACTGAAAAATTACAATTTTTCTACCTTTATAATATAAGACTGAAACGTGTCTCTCGGATCTTCTTCAGTAAACAATCCAAGCAAAATCCTCAGGCACACCGGATCTACATTTATCAAATAGAACTCTCTAGTATCAATCAATGAGCTTCCTTTATATATACACTCAAATTTGGCCCTCCCAAAAATGAAGTGACATCGGTAATAAATGCTACAACTTTAATTACAACAAAGCAAATCGACAAACAGAAGAGTAAATCAATTCAGTTTTTTTTTCAATCAGAATTGGAAGTAATTGTAAATTTCCGCTGCAAGACAAGAAGCGAAAATAAAAAAAGGAAGCTAATCTGCTAATCGGTGCAGAGAGATAGAGAGAGGATAAAGATTCAGAATCTATATCAAGTAAGGACAGAGAAAAGCAAACAAGAAATCGAAACGAGAAAATTGGAAAAGAAAGAGCATCGGAAAGTGAGATCAGAGCTAATGACTCTGACATTTTTCGCTTTACTCTCGGGGAGAGAGCGAGAGAGAGAGAGAGAGAGAGAGACCTGAAAGTTAAGGGTTAGGAGCTAGCTAGGTAGATAGATACATCGGAAACTCCGCCGGAGAAGATGCCGCCGGCGATGAAGTAGCCAAATCTGTCTCTCTACTCGGGAATCTCACGCGCTCACCGAGTGGGGAATGACGTCGGACGCGAAAGGGATTTAAAGAAATTGGAGCTAACTACGGAATCTCACGTACAGACTTAAACATATGAAGAGAGAGAGAGAGAAGGAGAGAGGAAAGAAGAAAATGCTTCTCTGGACTCTCTTGCTCTTTTGTGTTCTCTTCTTCGTTTGCTTCCCCAATTATTAAAAATAAAATAAACAAATTGCAATATCTTCTCTTTATGTCTTTTGGTTGGTGTTATGCTGTTATGTTATTACAGTAGCTAAAATTCAACAATATTGAACTGAGATAATGAAACAAAATAACAATTCATATCCTGGGTAAAATATAATACTACCACATCGGGAAATTGAATATAATTCATGTTACTAAAAAAAGAAAATTACCATTCAGTTAAAAGAAAAAGAGAATATTATTCATATTAATTTTTGTCAAAAATCAACTAGATGTAATTCTGAGCCTCGGTTATTTTCGGTGGTAAACAAAATATCAGTGTAAGCAAGCAATATAGTCAAACATATTGACAATCTGAAAACGAATTTGGTTCATTTAAGTCAACATGATTTTGTTTAGAAGTGGCTGAAAAATAGTGATCATTAGTACTTTTTAATGGTGGAAAATTACGTTTGAAACATCATAACTATTTGCAGAAATTGTGTAAGAAATTAACAAGAGTGAAAAAGAGATGTGATTAAACTTGGAGTGATTAGGTCTAAAAGCAAAATCAGCTTATGATAATTTATATCTATTTTTGATTGCATGGATTGTTCGTCACAGTTTGACATTCACAATGAATGCATTGATAAAAATTTGGTGTGGCCCAACAACCAAATCCTTTGCTTGTTGTGCTACTTTCACAATTAGTACTATAGTAGATAATATATGGGCAGTGGAATGATGATGTTCCATTTCTTTCTTGTCAAATTACTATTGGTGATGAATATCGGTTTTTCCCATACAAATTTATTGTTTCGTCTACTATATTGGTCTACTATATTGGTTTTTAAGAGGCGTCTTTCTTTAATGTCATTTTATAACCGAGAACTTGAGATCGAAATCATGATAATCTGTAAAACATGCGTAAGGCCATGTAAAGTATGCAGTCATAAAGGAGACAAAGCGCCTAATTAACAATAATCGATATATGGCTTCAACTATCGTTAGGTTGGTTTTTTGTTCACGTGATTCTACATGTTTTACATACTTCAATAAAAATGGGACCAAATAAAGAAAATCTGAAATGGACCAGCGAATATATACATATTTAATCTTAATTAATGATATATATATAACCAAAAAAAAAGAGCAACAAAAACGTAGAGCCATAAACAAAGCATGGCTTTAAGTGATGATAATACAGTAGTACAGAATGAAAACTTCGCATAATGATGATCTTTTTTAAGCCACAAAATTATAATTTTGTCCAATCCAGTCAAATGATCCTCCATTGACAAAATTTGTTATACTTTCCTTGTGTTTTAGCCAAGTTGTAGTTGTATCACCATTTACGGCCAATATATTTGAAATTCGACAAGAAAAGAAAACAGTATACATATTTTGGAATTGCTACATTAATAAAGAGTTTAGTTGACCTGTACTAAAGATGGTTTTGACAAGCAAATGTCTTTTCCTTAAGATTTGTTGTGCAACTTATTTATTATCTTATGATTAAAACTTACTTTTGAGGTCCTGAGACCCTTTAGCAAATCACAGACAACCCGTAGCATCCCACGTGCTTAAGTCCACACTTTCATTATCATATTTCCTCTTCTTCGTGTAGAGTTATAGACTTCTAGTCTCACTAAAACCAGATTTTTGTTTAATCATTCGTTAATTTGGTTTATAGCATAAGGTTTCAGATGACGTGGCTCTGTGAGGGAAAAGAAATATGAGTTACATACATGAGTTAGATAAACTCACTAGTTGCTCATTGATATCTCTCTATTGTCAAGCTTAAGCATAAATTTTATTTTTATAAATTTGTTGGTTACTTGTTTTGTTCCATCGATCTAACTAGTCGGTTTATAACTAATTGGGCGTACTTGTCTGACTCCTATTAGCTGGCCAGACCTGAAAAATTGAAGTATCTATGTTTTAAGATTATTATCAACTTAACTATATACATAATACATCACTCAGATACTACGTTTTTCCAAAAATAAACTAGAGAATTTTTTTTAAACCATTAAAACACAAAATCTTGAAAGAATCAAAGAGGAAAGGAACAGCATGGCCATTTGATGGCACTAAATAATTAGTTTATGGAGACAAATAAGACAAGAAGTGTTCCGCTTCATGTGAGAACTACACTCATTACAATAAACACCAAATACTATAATACCAATACAGTTCATAACTTACAGATATTTCAATTTTATCACACGATATTTGTATGCGCGCGTTTAAGTTGTTCTTTTGGTAGCTGTGTAACTTGTTTCGTATATCGACATGTTCACATGTAGTGGTCTTACAAGTTGGTGTATGCATGAACTAAACAATGTGGACAATATATATAATATATAATAAAATAAAACGGGGTTCGTGAGACTTGAGAAATCAGTTACATGAAAAGAGAGAGATGTCTGTTTAATGCATTACTTGCTTCGTCTATATATGTCGTGTATAGTCTATTAATGTTGATACAAGAATATAAAGTGTACACACTAGTTTTAAGCAAGCGCTCTAGGAGCGTTTTGACATGGCGGTTGATGCCGATTTGTTGGAGCGTATGCAATGAACAAACTTTGGAGTGTCAGTGTCACGGACTCACGGAAGGGAGCAACTTTGCAGCAACCTGCTAGATTTACCTTTGTTTAGTGGCTAAGTTTGTGATGGTGAGATTGGAGTGATGGTGGGATTTTCAGTGGCTAAGTTTATAACATGTAACTTTGTTTATTGTTCACAAAGACATCCCATTAAGAGTGAAATCATAACTATGAATATCGATCAAAATATTGTAGAGTGTCAAAGTGATGTTGAAATAAGCATAAGCAATTGAATGTAGTCTTAATCATCAAAGAACCAACCACCACTATTTCTCCATTTAAGAAAAAAAAAAATCTTTATATCAACGATCAATTACACACTGTTACAAGACTAATATTTTGGTTATTATTTTATTTTTTTAAAATAACTTTGAAAAGACTATGGATAATTGGATATCCCGCATCCTGATAATGGTTGATCAATTACATACAGTTAGTTACAGCAAGAATGCCTGTGGAATAAATCACATAGTTTTGTTTTTCCTTTTTTTCCTAAGTTGCTAGGAATCACTTGATATAACATTTTTTCCCCCACATAATTCGTTTTTATTTTTCATTCCATGAACGGAGGAAACAAACAAAATATGAAGAAAGAGAGTATCAAAATGCCACATCAGCATTATCCTTAAGAACAGATATGTCATGTACACGTGGCAGTTCTCAAGTGGAGGGAAACGATTCGTTTAACCCAAAACATCTTCTACACTTCCTCTTTTCTTAGCCTTTCGAACAATATTATACAACCAACAAAACAATCAAGATCAACCATTTCGTATCGGAAGAACAACAACAAGAAGAAGAAGAAGAAGAAAAAGAAAACTAAAGATGGCGTTTACGTCAGCATCTTCGGTGTTTGTTTTGACGGCCAACGTGCCGGCGACCGGCGGCACTTCGTCGTCTAGGAACTCCGTGTCTTTCTTGCCGATGAGAAGCGCCGGTTCTAGGCTCGTAGTCAGGGCAGCGGAAGAGCCAGCTCCCGCGACATCTTCATCGGAAGCTCCTCCAGCAACCGCCGCTGCTCCGGTCGCAGCTACTGCTACCAAACCCAAGCCGCCTCCGATTGGCCCCAAGAGAGGGTCCAAGGTCAGCTAACTAAAACCATCTTGTATTTACTAATATACGCATGCATACCCCAAATTTACATGTCGATCGATGGATTAGTATGTCTAATAACGAATTTCATTTGAGTTGCTTTGATTTTAATTGGTAAAATAACAAAATGAAATTACACAGTTATGCTTGTGCAAACTGTAATTATAGTGAAGGCCAGTTAAAAAAAAACTGCAATTATAACGACAAAATAGTTTCGGTTTCACAAATGAGGTTATGACGATCTATTACTTTAGGTTCCATCTCATTTTCAATGTGTCTTCTCTATCAAACTCTCGTCATTCGATTTGTTACTACTAATGAGAGATGATAATGCAATTTGAGTGTTTTTGATTATTTGGAAGTTACATTCGATATTTATACAAATTGCTGGGGTTGTTTGTAGGTCAAGATTCTAAGGAGAGAATCCTACTGGTTCAAGAACGTTGGATCAGTTGTGGCCGTTGATCAGGTAACGCATTTAATCTCCAATTAACGATCATATATATACACTGTATGTTTCACCATGCGGGTTTGTGTAAATTCTCTTACCCGGGTTTCAATTTTCAAATGTGCAGGACCCAAAGACCCGGTATCCAGTTGTTGTCCGGTTCGCTAAAGTGAATTACGCCAACATATCCACCAACAACTATGCATTGGACGAAGTCGAAGAAGTTGCATCTTAAATTTGAGAGAAACTATGTGTGTATTTGGTTTAATCCCTATACCGGTCTTTCTGTTTGTAACTTGACTCGAACCGTATGTACCTAAAAAGCTCATCAAATTATTTATCGCCCTCTGAATGAGTCGGTTTTCTGAATTATTGCTATTTCAAACCATTTTAAAACCGGTATAATGTTGCTTGGTAACTACGTAAAGCACTCAGTCCAGTCTGCCTCAGCTCCAGTTTGATTGCAAAAATCGTATTTCCCAAACACAATTACCGCGGAAGTGAAACTAATGATTTTGTAATAAAAATCTTTGTCACAACTATACATTTCCTTTTTAATAAAGACAAAAAGAAAACTTGTAGTTATGTCCCTAAATATGAGAGTATCTACACTCTACCATCCATACCATCAAGAAGACCGGTCCACATTCCTTTAACCGGAGGAAGCTGTGCAACAAAGGCTTGCCATGGAGGATAACCCACTCCACTTCCTCTTACACGCCCGTCCAAACGCAGAGACAAATACCTAAAAACCAACAATTACGCATCACGGATCACAAAACCACTCATAATCAGCTCAAGAACCGATGCAAGATTCAGTCTTAAACCGGTTTCAAACCAAATGCAAAGAACACAACTTACACTGGAGAGTCTGAGGAAACATTAGCCAGCTTCTTCTGCTCATCCAACCACCTGTTCATTGAAAACACAGAGCTCAAGATTTTAACTCTGTTTTACACTCTACAATCAAAAAATTCTTACTTACTTTTCCCATTCCGAGACAAAAACTGGAGCCACACGCCACAACCTCCTCCTTCTCTGGCTCATCTCTTCATCCGCATTATCACCACTCTCATCGAACTCCAAAACCGGAGACCTCCCATCCGTAGCATAAGCCACAACAACCACACCTCTCTCAACAAGCCCCTGCGTAAACTCTCTACTTCTCTTGAACGCTTCCTCAATATAATCCGCTGGACCAGCGCAGATCACAAGCCTAGCGATCCCTCTCAGATCACCAACCGATATAACCTTGTTGTTCTCTTCCACTCTCATTCTGAGTTTCCCGAGATTCTCTTCCCTCGAAAGCCTAGCCATTTGCGCGTTCTTGGTCTTGTTTTCGCGGAAGTAGAGGAACGCGAACAGAGAAGCCGCACCAACGTCAATGCCTAGACCTTTTACGATCTCGAGAACTTCGCCTGATCTTGCCGGATTCGCTAGAGCGCCGATGAGCCTTGACGTTGCTATTAGTCCTCCTAGTGAAGCGCTCGCTATGAAGGCCAGGTAGAAGAACATTCTGACTGATCTGAATGGAGACAGAACCTCACTTCGGATTCTGGCATCAGCACTGAAAGAATCATAAACAGAGATAAGCTAAACTGTGTCATCATTACACAAGCAAAGTTTCAACCTTTCATCATTGATTCAGCAACAACTTCGAATCTAAACCCACTATTCATCAAATACAAAGAGGAAGCCCAACTGAAAGAAACAGATTACCTGATTTCGGAGGGTTCGTCTGCAGCGAAACACACAGTGTTGAAAGACAAAGGTTGTTGCTTTATAGTTACCGTCAGAGGCAAAAATCTAGTGTTTTTAGGAAAAAAGTCAAGTCTTTCTCTTTGATTATTATGAAGGGAAAGTCTACGAGAGTATGGCTCTTTAGCCTGACTTAGAGCTCGTTTACTAAAGTGAAAATGGTAGATATATGCCTGAGATGAGACCAGAGTAGCCATTGGTCTCTCTAGATTCTCTGCAACTTCCTCTGTTCATAAGATGAAAGACTCTCCTCTCATTTTGGATCACATTTTTTTTTTTTTAACTCTTTCTATCAGCCTGTGATCATAAACTTGCCACGCTTCTCAGATTTAATGTCTCTTTTTGGGATTTTCTTAAAAATATTAGGTCAACTTTTATACCTTTTAAGATAAAATTGATATGAAACTTTACAATCTGGTTTTGTGTGCGTGTGTGTGTATGTGTGGTAATTTACAGAGATCAACGACAGATTTAATTTAATTAATTTTCTTATTTCAATGTGTTGACAAAAAGAAAAATGAGGTTCAATGTTTACAAAAGAGAGAAAGTAGTTACAAGTCTTGCAAGCTCTATATGCAAAATCTCCAAACCAGTTTCCATCAAGTCTCACCAGTTTTACCCTTGGCTTCAGCTAACATCGGTTCCAATTCTCCTTTCCTGTTCAGCTTCACTGTATCTGTAGTACAACAACACAAAGATAATGCAGAGAGTTCAAGTGAGAAATATCCAAAATTGTACAAAACACAGGTGATTCGTAAAGACCAAAGAGTAAGAGATAGTAGTCTCATTGACTGTGTACAAAATCCACAAAGAAAGTACCTGTGCAGCCACCAATGTGCTTGCCTCCTGGTCATTAGGACAAAAAAGATAAGACACAGTTATGTGTTGTCATTAACCGAAAATGTATTGCTCAATTCTTTGGGGGCATCTAAAGGTTTAATCTTTCGAAGCAGGATATAATGGAAAAAGAGCTTGTGATGTATATGCTCATGAGTTTGCAATCAAAGCATTCAATTCAATGAAGATATGATTGGCGCAAACAGAGTTAAATTTACTTACCGACGAAAACATTAGGAACAGTGTGTTGCTTAGTAAGTCTTTCCAGTACCTTCTGCAGCTGTGGCCCTTGTGGACCTGAAAATGAGCCATGCGATTCAAAAATTCAGTATATAGAATCCGGATCACCCAACGTTTTGACAACGAAGACATGAAAAGACTAGTAATTCTACAAGAAACAAAAACAGATTACTACAAATACCAAAGGCAGACAAAGAAGCACCAAAAATGTAAGTTTCTGACCCAAACTCTAACATATGAACTAATTCGAATCTGGAAAACTAAACCAATTGGAAAGTCGAACAAGTTTTTTTTGATTCGTTTCAAGTTTCAACCAGTCTAAATAAACTGGATTAAAATTGAGCATATGCAACCAAATTCAAAAGTTACTTGTAAACAACTAACAAGCATATTCCTTCGTCAACTATATAAAGCCATGTCATAAACATAAACTACGAGTTTAATATGATCATATAATCAAATCAATTAATCAAGCAAAGCTGACCAATCTATGAAAAAAACAGAAAATATAAATGTTGAGCAAATGTAAACATTACCAAGTTCATCCAATTCAATCACCAGTGGCTCAACTCCAAGTCTCTTAAACAATGTCTTCACTTCAGTACAGTACCTTCAATAAACACCAAACACCAAGACATTGTCATCAAGTCTATGTTTAAGAATTAATCAAACGAGAGTCATAACTTGTGTTAAGAAAGGTCAGCAGAAAACACTAAGATCCGAAGAAGAACAAAACCCATAACACAAATTAGTAAACTTTACAAGGATATTGAAAAAACCCATCGGAAAAATGAAACTTACGAGCACCAAGTTTTGGAGTAAACAACGACAAGGTTCTCAGTCACCGTTCTCTTAATGCTCTCCTCCATTCTCGATCCGAAGGAAGAAGAAGACGAAGCAGCCGAAGAGGAAGGAGAAGAAGAAGAAGAACACATGGCTCGAACAGAACATGTCTGCTTTAGACATCTCTTCAAAGGAGATCCGACGGAGTTTCTAATGCCGCTCTTAATCAGAGAGAATGAATAAGAAGAAGAAGAAGACGAGATCGAAGGAATCGGATCTAGAGAAGACGATGCAAGTTTCAATGGGCTGAATGCTGTGACTGCCATGGCGATTTTCTGACCCTTAAGATTCTCAAAAGCTCGACAGATTCTTGGAGCTCCTTTGCGTGGTACTTGTTCTCTCGTGATTTGTCCTCTTTTTCCCCTTTTTTGATTTCAAAGCTGAAAATTTCTGACCAACAAAATAAATCTGAAATTTTTATTCTGCGGGATTTACTCTTGTACTTAACGGGCTTTATTAACAGGCTAACGGGCTTTATTAACAGGCTTTTCCAAGTTTGGGCCCTAATAGGCTTTAGAAGAGTTCAACATACAACAGTACTTTTTGCGAACGATAGAAATTTTGTCGTCCTAAATTTTAACCGCACACTTCTTTTAGAATTTTCAAACTGAAGGCATATCAATATTCTTTCTTACCAATTTTGTCGTTTTATATATGGTGGCTATAACAAAAATCGTTAAGAGACTTGTGATTTTATAAACAACTCATCTATGGACCTACCTTGATAAGATCATGTGGGGACTTTTGACTAGTTGTAACGTCATGGGTTCGAATTATTTCATTATTGTTTCTCAATTTGTCTTTGTCAATATGCCACCAACATTTTCTTCATTCATTTATAGCCCAAATCTTTGTTGCACTGACATACACTATACATATATATATGAGCACATTTTATATGTACACGATATATTAAACATTATTTAAATGCGCACACACACACAATAAACCCCCTTTAATCATATAAACAATTGTATTATAAAACTGAGCCAAAGTACCCTCACTTATTCGAATTTCCTTGTATTGTCCGTATCCATCCATGTACATACGTATTTATATATAAGATTGGCCCAAATCATAGAAAATTCAGATATGCATATGTATGTATCTAATCTGTATAACGAATTAATATCTATTCATATCCGGTTCAAGTGTGTTGGGTATTTATATACACTGTATGTGGGAATTTTTCCAACGTTCTATCTATCCAAATTCATCTACACGACTACACTAATGATCCATTCAGAAATAATGTACTGAACATATGGTTTGTGTTTGCTTATACAAAAACCTATCACTTATATGGTGAGTGTGTGGGGTTGCAGGTACATAAAAAGTGATATAGAGGCATGGGTACAAATTAGAATACAATAATGTTCCATCCAAAAATTTACCCATCTCAATGATTAAACCCCAATACATTTTTATTACTTGTTTGGAGTAAAGAGCTAAATTTGAATTTGGCAACCAGGACTCGAATTGTAATGAATGTGTGGTTGTTACAAAAGAAAAACTAAAATTTCAGAAACTATATACGTACCCTTGTAAGAAAATATTATCAACAAAATAACAGTTTACAAGAAAAAAAACCTATAAACTTGTACTGTTACTTGTTGGAGAAGTAGTTTCTACTCTTATATAATATTGCGTGTCGGAAGTTATATAAAAGAAGAACATTGTGTCTGGTAAATAATGTGTGCGGTAAACATTGTGTTTGTTGGTTTCTTCTTTCTTGTGTCTAGTGTAGAAGAATATTTTTCTTTCACGAGAGGTAGTTCATCTAACAGACATAGGCATGTGAAAGGAACAAACCCTAGTTTTTGCAGACTTTGGTAATGTGTATGATGGACAATATGGGCCCTTGAACATGAATGATTTCTCCATTGGAGAATTTGTGACCATTCCCATGTGTTGTTACCATTTACTCTTTGTCACTGATATTTTTAAAACAAATCCCAATTCATTTTGACCCATATATACCTGCCTTGTATATACTACTCCAAAGTAGAATTGTCAATTACCCCAAGTTGTGACTGTATCCGATAATTTCCAATCGGTGTTAAATTTTTTTGTTTTTTTTTTTTTCATATACGTTGAATAAAGTGTAATCAGATTTTGGTTTTACTTCTTAAGCTAAGTAGATCGATATAGATATACGTACATGTTAATGACTCGGCCGAGATACTGTAGGTCAAATTGAAAACAAAGTCATATAAATCTCATTACGCAATTTCGAAAAAAGTAAAAAATACAGTAACTATAAATGGACGCATACCAACCTACGTGATAGATCCCTGGCTAGGTCTTCATAACAAAACATATAACTAGAACCTAAGATGGTACCTATCTAGCTAGGGTTTTGCCAATGTAATGAAATTTGATTAAGAAATATGTGTGAATGTGAGGTGACAAGTGGCAAGTATGGCTAACGCAAGGAAGTAAGCAAAAATAGAAATGGTCACTCAAATTTAATCTTAGCTTGTAGTTTCTAAATAGGTAACATGAGGTGAGGGACTGAAGGTACATGAGGCTAGGTGATCACTCCTCCATGGCCTTTGAAATGGACTTCACACGGTGTGCGTGCGCTCTATATATGAACGTTTTTGTAGTCACAATCATCAGAATTTCTACTTCCAAGATATTCTAGGCATATCCAATTCAAGTATTTTGGTGGAACGTAAAATTTACTATTTGTAGAGCTAGCCCATGTTATATATCTTATTTATTTTATTGATTTATCGCCAATAAAAGACAATTGACGCCTACTAAAAGAGAACCTAGTGTGTATGACTCAATACGTTTGTACAATCTATCAATAATTTGTATTAGTTTTTTTTTAAATCAAATTAAATTTGCTCGATAAATTGTATAGTATGAAATTTGAACTACTAATAAAAACGCGAAAATATTTGATTTTTTTTATTATATATGTTTAGTTCTGTTCAACGTGCACGTGTATCAATTGCATGTTTTGATCATTCATCAGTCATCGATTATTAAAAAAAATCACTAGAGAAATCTAAAGGACTGAAATAGAAATCTGATAATAATTCCCTTTTATATATTTCTAATAACAGAAAGATAATGTTTTCGTAGGCTGAAAAAGATAACATATATACCAGCAAGAAAATTATAAAACAGATTTGAATTATTATAAATTTACATATCAATAATAATAATAAATGTACAAATGTTGTGGTCGAAATTGGTTTTGAACTGCTGGCTTTATCCTTTGACATTGGACATCGCCGATCTAAATTTTGATGTGACATTGTAAGATCTCTTTAATTAATGGATTTAAATCTTTTCATTGGACCCAACACATGTGGGTTTTTAATGTCATCACAAAATTTATCACTTTTCTCTTTTGTTTTTTTCCTAAGAAATTCCACTACATATATTTTCTTATTATCAAGTTCCCAGCTTTCTTATTTTGACATTGGGTTTCTTTGATTTTAGACGAGTTTTCTTCTTTAAATATTTTGATAACATATTGTTTACAAAAGAAATATAACCATGTATCTTTAGTTTGGAATAGTCGTATAAAGAATCTTCCTATAAATGGTACTTTTGATAATGCTCGTATACTTTTATACAAGTTAATATGAATCAGATACACCAGCTCAAATAAATTGATTATACAAGGTTGTGGCTAATTAACAAGTGGTCACAGTTGAGTTTAGTAATTCTGCTAATAGTCGACGATGGAATTCGTATCAATATAGTGCATATGGTTAGCAACTAAAGAAGTTTTATAATAATAGTCAAAGAATATTTTGGATGAGTCCAAACTTGGATGAAGAAACCTTAACTATCTAAAAGAATGCACATTTTTCGTTTCCGTGCAAAGCGGGAAGTCTATGCATGAACCATGACACTAATAATTTCGTTAATGACTTGAATCGCATTGTAAAGTGGGACTTAATTATACTTTCTGTTAATTAGGTTTAGTCACCTAATTAATAAAGTCCAACCCACATAAACCACCTAGCTGGCTAGTTATCACATGTACTTGGGAATCATTTTAATAATTTCTTTTCACACAAACTTAGTTACAGTGTTTCTTCTTTTGGTTGATAAGGACTTAGATACAATGTTCTTATTAATTAGTTTTAATTTGGTTCTTCCTAATTAAGAGATCTGCTTATATGAACTGAACTGTTGACTTTCTTTAACAACAAACACAGAACAAAAACCCTTACCAAGTTAATCAAGTGTTTAGGATGTAATAAAATAACCTTTAAAAATCTGTTGGCATTTTCTTTAACAAAAAATAAAAATAAAAATAAAAATATTGGCATTTTGGGTCTGGCTTTACGTGAAGTTGTGCATTTTGGTATATTTAAAATTGGAAAACAATTATAAATCGTGTGAGAAAAAGAAAAAAAAAACGATCAAGCGTGTTCATTCCTAACTTGTAATAAATTTTGGTCCATCCATATTAATTAGTGTACGAATAGCAAACCAAATTGGAATGAAAGAACCCTATAAACCTAACTACAGTATAACTTAAAATTATTTTATCCGATTTACCCGGGTCAAAGTTAAAATTTCTTAAAATCTAAACCATTGACATATTCTCTTCACTTAACTCTTGACATATTTAACTCTTTAAAACAAAAATTTCGTGCACCACAATATTCTGAAACTGTAAAAAAAACTAATTTATGTCATTTATTTGTATGTTGTAGTTATTTTGTAGTTTTGCATGCTATATATTAACAATAAAAAAAAAATGTATCTCAATTTTATCAGTCGGCATGCACCTAATTCAACGAAAGAAACACTTTTGTTTTTATTTCAACAACTTCAGAGAATCATGTGTAGCGAGATTCGAACTTGCGACCTCATGCATGATTCTTAATATCATTCATTCAAATTCTTTATCAAAATCATTCATTCAAATGACACCAAATAAGGAGTTTGTTCAGTACCAAATTAAAAGAACATGGCGTACAATAAAACTCTCTGAAGAGTGAGAAGTAAGAAAGCATAACAGAGTAGCATAGGAAGATGGTAAACCTTTTCTTGCTTAAAAAGCTATTAGAAAATTGTATACAATATATGTTAACTATGCAAATAGAGTAAGAAAGTAAACTTGTACAAAAAAATGAAAGAAACCCCCCAAAAAAGTTAACTGTTAAAAGTAAAAACAAAAACAAAATAGAAAACAAAAGGCCACATCATCCTCTGTTTACACAAAACGCCCAAAACAACAAGTGGAGGAGGTAACAAAAAAACAAACACACACAACACCCTTTGGTTT